TGTAAAATTCCGTACACCCCTGATTACACCAAGATAACGAATTTATTTCTTATGAACAATTCCTTTACTCATTTTTAAACCAGGATGTAAAATTGAAAAATGGTAATGAAAATTAACATTTTTTCAACTTCGATGTTGCTGCACATTGTCAAATACTTTTTTTCTTTATTTTTTGGAAATTCAGAAAATTTTTGTGTTCTTTTGAATTTTTGGGGAAAAAAAAATTTAAATATTTTTTTTAATTTTTTTTCAATTTTTGTCCTCAAATTTATTTATTTTTTTTATTTATTTTTTTTTTTTTGACATTTAATTTTTAATTTTTTTTTGTCATTTTATATTTTTTTTCTTTATTTTGTCAAATTTTTTTTTTTTTTTATTTTTTGGCAAAATTCTATTTATCCCGGGGTGTACAAGGGTGGAGTGTTATTTACACCGGGGTAATTAACCAATCAGATTGCAATATTTTTGCTGCATAAGAAATAAAACAGTATACCTCCTATTCTTTGGAGCGGGGGTATAAGAAAAAAACTAACCACAATGCCAGCATAAAAAAAAAACGGAAAGTAACTTTTTTACAGTTCCCAGATAGCTGACCAGGTGTTTTCTGGATTTTTTGTTGCAATGGTTGCTTATGGACTATTTCATTTGAAGTTTAACCAAGTGCATAATTTTACACAGCTAGAGCTTGCTGCACATCATGATTTTTTTATATACTAATAACGTTAAGCAGACATGAGGTATGTACTTGCGTAAAAAGGAAGGAGGAAAGGTGATGTTTTGGACTTGCTAGATCATGAAAATGTTCATCTTCATATAGAAATTACTGAACTGATTTTTTTCCCGTTTGAATACAGGCCCTATGTATTACAAGATTTTGCTAAATAATTGTTTCTTAATAAAATAGTAAAGGTAGTGACATGCAGCCCTCTTCATCGGGTTATCTTTGTTGGCCTCAAGACTAGTTTTATTGTATTTTGGAATATTCTAGTTGCAAATGGCAGCACATTCATGTTACACGATGATTTTTAACAATATACATGGAAGAACGTATCATAAAGACGAACAGCTCAAAGAGGAATCATATTCCATTTCTAAATTTGGTTCCAAAACGAATGGAATGATGGTGAGGTATACATATCTGTCTGGCAGGGTTTATCTAACCTTGACCTTATTGTCATTGATCATTTATAATGTTAGTTGTATTTGATACTTGTAGTAAAACCAATATCTTTACGATTTCCACCATTACATGATTCATGGCCACTAAAGCAAGCGAAACATTTCAGTGAATGCACTTGTTTTTCAATTGATATCATTTTTTTTAAATATACACAGTAATATAGTATCAGTAATATATAAGTATTCTTAGAAGATCTCTGGAGTTGTGGATTGACACTTTTATGACGTTAAACACCTCAAGAAGAATTCCGGATAAAGAAAATACTATAGGATCGGATTATCAGATATATTAACAGTTAAGTTGACATTTCTATTTGTATAATATTTCTTGTAAAATTGTATAATAAATCTTGTTAATTTTATTATAAATCTTTGTCTTTTGTTGGCTACAATTTAAAGGTGATTTCTGGCCGTAACAGAAACTGGGGGCTCGTCCGGGAGAACTTAAATATAAGATTAAACATTTTTCAGAGTAAATAGATTTTCGGTATTTTATTGAATTAGAATTAGCCAACAAAATTCAACAAAATGGCATCTGATGACAGCTTATTTTTAAAAACGTCCAGACCTGGAGGGGTTGGATAAACTAAAAAAAAAAGGGAATTAGTGTTGCTTGTTAAACATCTACAAATATATTTAAGATTATCTATGAGAAAACAGATTATAAAAAATTTGATAATAGACAAATTAGTTGACGCAGAATTTTTTTGTGAAGAAAAAGCTCTTGATCTTGAGGTCGAAATTTTGATCCCATCAAATTAAAACAGCTTGAATTAGAACATGAATTTAAATCAAAACAATTGAAAAAATAATTTAAAAACGAAGTTTAATCAAATCAATTGGAAAAAGAAGATGAATTGAAATTAAGGCAGGCAGAACTTGAAATAAGGGAAAGGTTAGAGATGGAGAAAATAAAAATTGAAATGGTGAAAGTAGAAATCAACACTAAAGTAGAGTCATAATCAGAACATTTTGAGGCAGCAAAACATATACGTTTGGTTCCCATATTTGGTGAAAAAACAGTTGAAAAACAAGTTTGAGAAAATTGCTCAGAATTTTAAACGGCCAAAGCCTTATTGGACTACAATGCTGCAAAGTGTTTTTGTTGGCAAGGCCGCTGAGATTTACTCAGCACTTTCTTCAGAAAAAAGTTATGATTATGGCACTGTAAAACAAGAAGTTTTGAAAGCTTATGAGCTAGTGCCAGAAATATATAGACAGAAATTTAGGATTTATAGAAAGTTTGAATCACAAACCTATGTTGAATTTGCTAGGGAAAGAAGACCTATGTGATAAATGGCTTACGTCAGCTGTTGTTTTCGATAATTATACCTTTTCACATAAAAATAGTTTCAAAGGTAAAATTTAGTACTTCGAGCGGAAATTACAAATATCAAAGTTCTAAGCGTGGTGATAGTAAGCCTGTTGCACAAAATGAGACTCAATATAGTTATACCATGTCTAGTCCAAAATCTGATCCTTTTGAGAAGAAGTCACTGACTTGTGCATATTGTAGGAAAAATGGTCATGTGATGGCTGATTGTTTTAGACCCAAGAAAAGGAGTATAAGCGATATTAAACCAAAGTCCGGTGCTATGTGGATCCTGATTTGTACAGGTAATAGAAGACTTGTCACACTTCCCGGACTCACTAAACTGACTTCGAGTTTGATGCTCTTACTTCGGAATTCTGCGTGATTATCGGAGAGGCAGCGAAAACAAATTTATTAGCTGGCTTTGAAACTAACCCACGACCTCTAGCTATCTCAAGGGACAACAGAAAACGACGATTTCCCGTGCCTTTCGCCTCAAATACTTGATCCGCATCTGTTGGATAAATATTTGACTGATTGATGGACAGACTGTCTGACCTAGTCCAATCAATAATATAACACACACACACACACACTCTGGCTAGGGGTGTATAAAGTGATATGGGACATGTTTTCCTTATGGTAATTGTATTGTGTCTTACATATATCTCAACTGTATTTATCTTAAAAAGCATTTTTTGCCTATAAATTCTACTCATAATATATCAAAATTTCAATTTTTTATGTAATTTATCAAGGTGACAAATACGATGAAACACTAAATCATCAAAATGTTTAACACTAAAATATCTAAATATTATTGACAACAATTGTACATTTAAAAACTGACTGAATTAATTTGTAATGCTTATAATAACATTTATTAGAAGTTCTGTATTATAACATCTTTTAGACTTCTCAACAAAGGTGTTTCCCGTCAGATCGCTTAACTTGAACTGTGAGCTCTTGCTTACTTATGATGCCACTGCTTTACGTATTCGGTAAACATGAAGTTTGTGAACAATGGATGTGAAAATGATGCACCATACGGTAAAACATGCTCATATAAAGCTTATACCATTTTTAGTGTGCTCTAATCAGTACTTTTCAAGAAAAGCTTTACGAAAATTTCATACATGGCCATTATGTGTAAAATACATATAAGTATTTGGTAAAGAAAGGAAGTTGATGAGCGATGAATGTGAAAATACTTCACACAGTATAGCATGCTTATATGAAGCCTGGTATCAAATTCGGCGTGCTCTGATCCTGAGGAATATACGACGGGAATTTCACGGGACGGATGAACGGATAGTTACATGGACAGACAGGCAGTGATATAACAGTATACCATTCATTCTTTGGAGCGGGGGTATAAAACTTTAAAAAAAGATAGCCACAATGGCAGCATAAAAAAACTTGGAAATTACATTTTTCCGCAGTTCCCAGATAGCTGACCAGTTGTCTTGTTGGGTTTTTCTATTGTTGGATTGCTGCGTCACTGACTTATATTATTCGAAATTCGTTATTGATGTTAATTCTTGAGTGTACGTGTTTATCTCTGTTTTTTTTTTGTAGCAATGGTTGTTTATTGACTATTTCATTTGAAATTTAACCCAGTGCATAATTTCACACAGCTAGCTTGCTGCATATCATGATTTATTATTTACTAATAACGTTATACAGATTGTACAAGGTAAAAGGTCGCAGAAAGACATGGCACACTTCCTGGACTCACTTATCTGACTTCGAGTTTGGTGCTCTTACTCGCGTGATTAATGAAGAGGCAGTAAATACAAAATGATTAGCTGGCTGTGAAACGAACCCACGACCTCTAGCACTCGACACGAGAACCGTGAGACAACCGAGACAGTTCAACTTTAATTTAAAATTCTGCTTTAATGATATTTTATACGAGAAGCTATATAATTTTAATCAATTTCATTGATTTATTTTCCCGTTTTTTGCAAACTACATTTTATTTCTATTTTTGTGTTGTTTTTTTTCTCTCTGAATTCAACTCTTACTTGTCTTTTTATACACAGTTCATTGAATTCCTTGTAAATCTAATTGTTAACATGATTATTTTTCAGTTCGTAGCTATATAAAAGTATATCGCTTCATTGCACTTTACTTTTCCTTTCCTTTATCGTGACAAACTGATGGAGTAGTCTGTAATTAATGAGTCAAAAGTTTCGGTTTAATCGCATGCATCTTCATATATAAAAAATAAGTTTATTTCAGTATCTTTAGCTACGTAATGTAAATATTTATGTATATATGCAAAAGTGCAAATTATAATAAGCAGCCGGCATATAAGATATAAATTGTGGTTATTATTGTGACACCTATGCTTATTTTCTTATGCATGTTTTTATTATCATTGATAAAACACCGTGTCATTAATTTGTACAAGACAATATTATAACATGACAAACGAACATAAAATCCGTTCATGTAGTATACGTCATTTGCAATTCACTCGTCAACCATGTCACCTCACGAAAATTATTGGAAGTAATACCTGTAATTAGGAAAATATTATTTTTTTTATTTTAGGCAAAAATAAATTGGATCTATAAGGTAAGGAAACTCATATTTTATTTTTACAATCAGTTATCACAATATCATATATTATTTACAATGTCATCGACATAGGTGTAATACAGGGATGTCCATTCTAACTTCTAGTTTACACCGAAGACACGCAAATGTCACAAAGTTGTATTCAAAAGGTTAAATGCATGCATTTTTCTATGAAATGACAATAAATTAAAATTGAGAATGGAAATGGGGAATATGTCAAAGAGACAACAACCTGACCATAGAGCAGACAACAGCCGAAGGCCACAATGGGTCTTCAACGCAGCGAGAAAATCCCGCACCCGGAGGATGTCCTCAGCGGGCCCCTAAATAAAATTGTGTACTAGTTCAGTGAAAATGGACGTCAAACTAAACTCCAAAACATATAAATGAACTAAAATTAAAAATCATACAAGACTAACAAAGGCCAGAGGCTCCTGACTTGGGCCAGGCGCAAAAATGCGGCGGGGTTAAACATGTTTTGTGAGATCTCAACCCTCCCCCTATACCTCTAGCCAATGTAGAATTAAAACATACTTAGTTTATACAGTCAGACGATGTAAATATCACGGTAAAGGAATCTGACAAAAAAAAAATTTCTTAATATATAGTATAAGTATACACATGAATTATTGAACTTATAAGGTACACACTGTAAAATTCATCTTAATAAACAGCCTTTATTTAGTGTTCAATGCCTTAAACAGGAAATCATAGGTGTAATGTTTATTTTGTCCTGCTTACAATTTGTATGTGCATACATATTGTCACAAAATTAACAATTGCACACGTTCTGCATTCATTATGATATAAATAGAACAGGTGTCATCAGAGATTGTGTTTAACAAAGAAGAATTTTTGCCTTGTATATTTAAGACGAACATTTGAATAGAAAAATAAGTTATTGGGTCATACACCGTAGAATTTTATCATATAGCATTGATTTAGCTTGATATAATAAAAGTAAATCATATTTGTATTCCTATCATTAAAACAAAAGATGTAATCAATTATATTACGATGTATGCCTCCCATCTAAGTACATTTGTGGTATTTTCGACAGGCACGACTTCAATTTACGTCAGTTGGTTCAATAACAAAACGTAATTGTGTGTATCATTTATATTGAAGGAAATGGATTTTATATTTAATGCGGGTGTTGTTATTACTTCGATGTAACCGCAGATTAGATAAACCCGTCTTTGTTACATTTTTGAAACTTTTGTTTAGTCATTTCGTGAAAAGGAAGGTAAAATAAAAGGTCATTCCTTATTCAAATGATGATTGCCAGAAATTGAACTTTCGATCGGTTTTGAGGTTACTTCTATCTCATCTGAGATCAAGGAAGGAGTGTGTCATTACTTATTGACATCGGTCATCCCTATATCAGTGACCTCAATATCTCGTCAGAACACACTCGGCTTAAAAACTTGACTAGAAACATTTTGAGACTTTATCTATTGTCATAATTTTATATACAATATGCCATTGACCAAATAATATTGTCGACACGAACCGTCACATCCAATTATGGTCAATTTACTGCATGATATAAAGAATAAGGAGATGACCATTTTTCGAGGAATTACGATTTTGTGTTAGGCTCCCCAGGAATAAATACTATTTTACATCATTCTCTCTAAAGCTGTACAGCTTCTTATTTTATATGTATCAAGCTATTAGCCTTGTAATGGTTCCCATTTTGAATACACGAACCGCGCTTAAATATGTACATTCACAGAGATGAAAAAAATATGCCGATTCACTTGTTTGGGTTTAAACAGGAACATGGTTTTGATTTTCAAATTGTATAACAATGGCCCTTCTTGCCATCGATAATAGGGTCCATACTGCATAATTATAATTTTTACCTGGAATCGCATGAGACATTTCAGTAAACGATCTTCACAGAAGTGAACATCAGCAGGCCAGTTTAAATCAACTCTATCTAAAACATCCTGAATAGAAAAAAATCCTGCAATCAATTCATATACAATTTTATCCAATGATGTTTCTTAGTCTTCAGTTCGATCATTTAAAAACCATTGGTAAATATCTGTATTTCTGACAGCTTGTGATAGATTTGTCAGCAATATATGTTTTATCCTGGCATTTCAGTTTTTCCACTTGTAAACCCCAATGTCGTAAAATCGTACGAATGTTTAACCCAAAACAATCAATCATACAGATAATGCAATGTGATCGACCAAACATTGCATTCTCCTTGGTTAATCTGTTTAACAAAACGTGTGATACAAAGTGATCGACCAAACATTGCATTCTCCTTGGTTAATCTGTTTAACAAATCGTGTGATACAAAGTGATCGACCAAACATTGCATTCTCCTTGGTTAATCTGTTTAACAAATCGTGTGATACAAAGTGATCGACCAAACATTGCTTTCTCCTTGGTTAATCTGTTTAACAAATCGTGTGATACAAAGTGATCGACCAAACATTGCATTCTCCTTGGTTAATCTGTTTAACAAATCGTGTGATACAAAGTGATCGACCAAACATTGCTTTCTCCTTGGTTAATCTGTTTAACAAATCGTGTGATACAAAGAGATCGACCGAACATTGCATTCTCCTTGGTTAATCTGTTTAACAAATCGTGTGATACAAAGTGATCGACCGAACATTGCATTCTCCTTGGTTAATCTGTTTAACAAATCGTGTGATACAAAGAGATCGACCGAACATTGCATTCTCCTTGGTTAATCTGTTTAACAAATCGTGTGATACAAAGTGATCGACCGAACATTGCATTCTCCTTGGTTAATCTGTTTAACAAATCGTGTGATACAAAGAGATCGACCGAACATTGCATTCTCCTTGGTTAATCTGTTTAACAAATCGTGTGATACAAAGTGATCGACCGAACATTGCATTCTCCTTGGTTAATCTGTTTAACAAATCGTGTGATACAAAGAGATCGACCGAACATTGCATTCTCCTTGGTTAATCTGTTTAACAAATCGTGTGATACAAAGTGATCGACCGAACATTGCATTCTCCTTGGTTAATCTGTTTAACAAATCGTGTGATACAAAGAGATCGACCGAACATTGCATTCTCCTTGGTTAATCTGTTTAACAAATCGTGTGATACAAAGTGATCGACCGAACATTGCATTCTCCTTGGTTAATCTGTTTAACAAATCGTGTGATACAAAGTGATCGACCAAACATTGCATTCTCCTTGGTTAATCTGTTTAACAAAACGTGTGATACAAAGTGATCGACCAAACATTGCATTCTCCTTGGTTAATCTGTTTAACAAAACGTGTGATACAAAGTGATCGACCAAACATTGCATTCTCCTTGGTTAATCTGTTTAACAAAACGTGTGATACAAAGTGATCGACCAAACATTGCATTCTCCTTGGTTAATCTGTTTAACAAAACGTGTGATACAAAGTGATCGACCAAACATTGCATTCTCCTTGGTTAATCTGTTTAACAAATCGTGTGATACAAAGTGATCGACCAAACATTGCATTCTCCTTGGTTAATCTGTTTAACAAATCGTGTGATACAAAGTGATCGACCAAACATTGCATTCTCCTTGGTTAATCTGTTTAACAAATCGTGTGATACAAAGTGATCGACCAAACATTGCATTCTCCTTGGTTAATCTGTTTAACAAAACGTGTGATACAAAGTGATCGACCAAACATTGCATTCTCCTTGGTTAATCTGTTTAACAAAACGTGTGATACAAAGTGATCGACCAAACATTGCATTCTCCTTGGTTAATCTGTTTAACAAAACGTGTGATACAAAGTGATCGACCAAACATTGCATTCTCCTTGGTTAATCTGTTTAACAAATCGTGTGATACAAAGTGATCGACCAAACATTGCATTCTCCTTGGTTAATCTGTTTAACAAAACGTGTGATACAAAGTGATCGACCAAACATTGCATTCTCCTTGGTTAATCTGTTTAACAAAACGTGTGATACAAAGTGATCGACCAAACATTGCATTCTCCTTGGTTAATCTGTTTAACAAAACGTGTGATACAAAGTGATCGACCAAACATTGCATTCTCCTTGGTTAATCTGTTTAACAAAACGTGTGATACAAAGTGATCGACCAAACATTGCATTCTCCTTGGTTAATCTGTTTAACAAAACGTGTGATACAAAGTGATCGACCAAACATTGCATTCTCCTTGGTTAATCTGTTTAACAAATCGTGTGATACAAAGTGATCGACCAAACATTGCATTCTCCTTGGTTAATCTGTTTAACAAATCGTGTGATACAAAGTGATCGACCAAACATTGCATTCTCCTTGGTTAATGTGTTTAACAAATCGTGTGATACAAAGTGATCGACCAAACATTGCATTCTCCTTGGTTAATCTGTTTAACAAATCGTGTGATACAAAGTGATCGACCAAACATTGCTTTCTCCTTGGTTAATCTGTTTAACAAAACGTGTGATAAAACTTGTGTGTCATCCTTTGTATTTTCTGTGAACTTGTCCTATACGTGAAGTGATCTGATTTTGTATGTTCTCTGTAGTTATTTTAACTTTACAGATTATTAATCTATTTATGTCTCTGGTGAAGATTCAGGGATGCAGACATCAACCATGTACAGGAACAGATTCTCCCTAAACTTAGCATAAAATTGAATTTAGCCCTAACTGAACCCATTTGGGGTGACAACCGAAAACGACGATTTCCTGTGCCTTTCGCCTCAAATGCTTGATCAATATCTGGTGTATAACTTTTTGACTGATTGATGGACAGACTGTCAGACCTATTCCAATCAATAGTATAAAAAAAGATAAAAAAAAAAATAGTTTACATCAAATTAAATAGATATAGGTTTAATGTTCCATCCCCCCGGCCACATAATCATTTGGGATCATTCATTTAGGATGTGTAAATACGCAGCCTCTGTTGTAATTACTTTACCTTTGTCAAATTTGAAATTTTAGTATTATACCAGTTCAAATTGGTCAGTGATATTCATTTGGAATGAACTTCTAAGCACAGACTTTAGTCACCAGTGAAATTTTATAAATGCACCAGATCATATCTCACATTAATATTCTTTTTAGAAGCATATCTATGCAGTCTCTGTTGTAAATACTTTACCTACGTCATTTTTGAAATTTTAGAAATATACAAGTGTTGTTCCATTTTTTAATTGTATAACTGTAAAAATTGTTATGGTTAGATCAGAATAGATTGATATGATTCATTGTACATCATAATAATCATAATGATGAAGGATATCTGTTATCCGAAATATTTATAGATACTTATATTTAATGTTTCCTTTTTTTAATATTGGTGTTGTTTTGTATAATGTTACACAGACAAAATTTGCTCATGTTAATTTCACATGAATCTCACATGAAAATCATGTGAAAAATTTCACGTGATATTCACCTCAAACGAGCTTATACATGAAACTCACGTGAAAATTTTCATGTGAATTTCACGTGAATTGAGAATTACATGAATCTCACGTGAAATTTTTCACATGAGTTTCACGTGAATTGAGAATTACATGAATCTCACGTGAAATTTTTCACATGAGTTTCACGTGAACTTTACAAACAAAAAAACTGGTATTTTTCATGATTTTAATTAAATTTGAAAATTTACATTTTATTTCAATTACTTTATTTCACATGAATTTCACTTGAAAAAAATTCATGTGATTTTCACGTAAAAAAATTCATGTGATTTTCACGTGAAATCCACGTGAGTTTCACATGAGATTCACGTGAAACTCACATGAACTGATTTCACGTGAGTTTCTCGTTTTAAGCTCGTTTGAGGTGAAATCCACCAGTCGGAAATCAAGCCCTTAGAAACGACCGTTATTGCTACTTTCTTAAGACAACAATGGGACTGATATTAAAGCCCGCCATTCTGAAATTGAGTTAATTTAGCGGAAAAAATAAATTGGCGGCAATTTGGAAAAATTTCTATTTTCCGTTTCTTACTTGCCATTGGAGTCAGAAATAGATGTCCTTCTACCTTTTAAGCATTTGTCCTATTATTAAAGAAAATAATACCCAAATTGGCCGTCCTTTAACAAATACGTTAAAGAATTATGCGAAATTGTCTGTTATTTTTTCTTTTTTTTTCACAGAAAAACAAAGATTATATATAATCTATAAAAAAAATAATGCGTATCTCAAAGTTAAAAAAAATATTTCAAGTCTAACGTTCTGTCACCCCTTACTAGGAAATCCCGTTTGAACTAAATTCCGAAAGAAAGACATTTTTTACATTGTAATTTTTGGTCTTTAATACACATCAATGTCAACATGCATCTGAACAGAATGTACACACATTTAGTGTGTTTGTTTGAAAAAGCAATGGCGAGTTCAGCTGCGAATTTGACTGGATTAATTTTTCTCTTTAAGGATGTTCGCTACTCTGTTTCAAAATAACAAGGTTTTTAAAAGACTATTATAAATTGATAGTATATAAATAAAGGAACTGAAAAAGCAGAAAAAAATGTAGGGTCCGTGTGCTTGTTTTAGAGATATAAGCCATTGAAAATTTGGCGGGAAATAATTCTCTCTAGACTTTTCTTACATTTAACATTGGCACCCTTTTTCTTTCAAAAATTATGAAAAAATAACAAGGATTTTATAGGATTTTCAAATATGGCTTTTTAAACTATAAGTAATAAAATTATAAAAAGAAAAGTAGGGGTTAGCGGGGGAAATATTTTAATGACACTACATGGATAAAACCTAGGAATCCTGCACAAGTAAATGCAAATATAACATGTACAATGGAAACATAAAAGTCTTGTCCTTTGAACTTAAAACAATCTCTTTCAGACTTGCATTTTAATCACTCTTATTCAAAGCATTTTTATAATTACATCATACATGAAGTGAGACTTACTTGTGATCTAAAACATAGCACTCAGAAACTGCTCTGAAATACTTTTAATATGCATAGTTTTTATTTTTTTTTAAATAGAAGAAGAAAAAATTGAGATTGAATCTTTTTCGTTGTTATTTATTCGCAAGTTCATGATTATAAACCTTTTAAATAATTATCCATTGGTTTAGGCTTTTTTTATAATTTGAGTCCATTCAGTAGAACCTGCATGAGACAAAATTTATTGTTATATTTAGTTAATTATACACAGATCGATTGCAAACCAATTTCCTTTTATTTCAAGTTACCCTTGTATACTGTTATGTTTAATAAAGCATCACTTTTTTTGCCTATAAATTCCACTCATAATGTACCAAAATTTCAAATTTTTATGTAATTTATCAAGGTGACAAATATGATGAAACAGTAAATAATAAAAATATCGAACACTAGAATATCAAAATATTATTGACAACAATTGTACATTTAAAAACTGACTGATTTAATTTGTAATGCTTATCATAACATTTATTCTAAATTCTGAACTATGATATCTTTTAGACTTCTCAACAAAGGCATTTCCCGTCAGATCACCAAACTTGATATTTTTGTGAGAGATCATATCATACAATTAAAATAACCAAGTTGAACTGTGAGCTCTTGCTTACTTTTGACACCGCTTAACGTATTCGGTAAACATAGTTTATGAGAAATGGATGTTAAAAAAGATGCATCATACAGAACAACATGCTCATATTAAGCCTTACGACATTTTTTTTGGGTGCTAACAGTATACAGTATAACAGTATATCTTCCATTCTTTGGAGCAGGGGTATACATATAAAAAAACTAACCACAATGACAGCATATAAAAAACGGAAAGTACATTTTTCCGCAGTTCCCAGATAGCTGACAAGATGTCTTGTTTATTCTTCTATTGTTGGATTGCTGCGTCATTGACTTATGTTATTCGCAATTCGTCTTATTGATGTTAATTGTTGAGTGTGCGTGCTTATCTTTGGATTTTTTGTTGCAATGGTCGCTTATTGACTATTTCATTTGAAGTTTAATCCACTGCATAATTTTACACAGCTACAATGTAGCTTGCTGCACATCATGCTTTTTCATTTTGTTAACCTTTTTTTTTCTTTTGATTTCTTTTAGCGTTTTATTTTTCTTCATAATGACGCAAGTTTAAAATATACATTCGTTTTGCAGACATTAACTTTTTTTCAATTTTGATAATTTTATACACATACACCTACATTTTCCTTAAATCAATATTTTCTGCTCATCAGCTTTCAGTATACAACAAATGACATGCGTTTCCTTTGGTGTCGTGTGTTATGGCAGACTCAGACACTTAAACATATCCTCGTCCACTTCCACAAGCACTAAGTCTTGTCTTTGAAAAAATTACCTATATTCTTCAATATAACATTAAAGTATAGAGGTAATGTTTTTCAGAGACAAGTGCCTGTGTCCACTTCGTCTCTTTTTGGTATTCTACCACAATACTCAATACTTAAACTATCATCAAACAAAATCGTTTTTGTTTAATGATAATTTAAGAAGATATTTTCAAAAATATTAATTAGTTAGAAAATGATTAACTTTTGAAATCGAGTTCATGCATTCACGTGAACATGGCTTTACAATACTTCATGTTAACTCTTTATAATGTGTATTGATTTCTGATGAAAACTTTTCTTACTCATAAATGTCGATATGCAAACTGTTCATTTCGTACAATAGACATATATGTGGTATTTATATCAGAAAATGTTTTGTAAGAAACGAATGACACCCAAATTGTTATGACACCGCCTACAATCCTTCTATATTTGTTTGAGTTATATAATTAATGCATGTATATATGAATTTTTCTCATAGCACTAACAAAGCAACCATTCGAGTTTTCCGAAACTTATTTATTATAAATACATTTCCGAAGAATTAAATAAGAAAGCCTTTTTTCTTACGAATATCTGTTTATAAAGTACTTCAAACAATTATTATTTCATATGGTAACTCCGCTGTTTACTATGATATAAATCACTCTACAGACTCACCGACACCATTTTGTTTTACTAAATTGGGTTGATACAAGTAATGGTGATTTTTTTTATCTTTAAAAAAAGATCGACATAGGTAATTTCTTGTAACATGTTCAAATACGAAAATCAAAATCGGATTTCAAAATTTGGAACACTTGCATGTGATCTCGAATTTAAGTTGAGTTGAGACTGAAAAATGTTTCACGCTTTGAAGAACGGAAATAGGTGACGAATTCTACTATATCAATACATGCCAATACCAAGATTTCAAAGTCTTGACAATGAAATGTACGTTATTCCCATCAATTCTTTCTTACCATGTAGGATGATTGTCTCATTGGCAAGCATGCCACATCTCCTTGTTGAATATCAAAATGAATATGATGTCCTATATACCAGTTATTGTACAATACATATATTCACAATTTTCAAATATCTGCTATTACCGGTGAAAAATAAATTGCATAGTTTACACTATCAACATGAAAGACATCTATGTAAATGATGTCCACTTAATCCACACGAAGTGTTCATGATATAATTAAAAAAAAAATCTGATTCTGATAAATGAATTCTGCAGCGACATACACTTTGCACACAATCAGGAAGCATTTTGATAATTAATTTGTCAATTATATATTTATTATGAAACAAACATGCGAAAGATACACAAGAGACTGAATCTCATAATGTATCAAAAATACACCATTATGAAGAATGAATAAAATAGGCGCTGAAATTTACCATAAGAGAAACAAAAATTTAAGATGTTATAGCAAAATACTTTCACAATACAATCAAGAACAAAAACAACAAATACAATAACGGAACGTCTAAATTGCTACTTTTAACAAGAACATGTTTTAATTCAGAACTGGAAAGACTTCGTGTTATCCCTCTATTAACAGAATACATTTGAAGTATACATTTTACTAATTAACATACATCAATATAAATAACTGATCAAGTGTCTTTTTTTGTAGAATGTGTTCTTGGAATTTCTATGTTAACGTATTGACTGTCCTTTTTGTTATCAATGGACTTACGAACGCTAGATTAAAACGAGGAAGGTATCCTCAATTTAACGATTTTTGTTCAGCTAAAGACGTATATGTTGGAGCACCATGGGATTGTTCAGGATATATTCACTGCCAAAGTGGAAATGGAATTAAAATGACATTTTGGATAGAATGTCCAGCTGGCTTATACTTTAATTTGAAACATAAAACTTGTATGTGGCCTCAAGATGTCAGTAATCCTTGTCCACCTGTGAAAGGTATGTATTAATGTACCGTACTGATATAATACATACACGTTACCAGAAATGTTTTACAGATATGGTATAAATTTGTTTGCTGTTATGGACCAAAAGTCATGATTTAAAGTTATTTGCAATGCAAATGCAGTGCAATAAAGAAATCATGGCTTTGGTAAACATCTAACTACAAAATTATACAGTTTAAGTGTTTTTGTTAAGTATATAGTCAATTAAAAATATAAATTTTTGTAACATTATGTTAATGGTGTTCTGTAACAAACGAAATCGTGGTTTTACAACAGAAAGTTATTAATTGTGGACATTAAATAGTCTAAGCGTGCTCATAAAATGTAAATACCTTATTGTCTTAAAAAATTGTAAAATAAAATAAATGAGCCTCTGTCTGTAAAGAACAAGTATCCATAGAAAACTAGAAATTAAAAAAAACATATGACTTTGCTATGCTATAAGCTATCTGTTATTACTAAACGCTAGTAGTATAAAGTTAAATGCTGTAATCCTTTCCAGATTTCATACGTGCTATCAGAGTCCTTTTTCAGTGTATGTGCATTTAAAATTTGTTTGACAGTTGATGCAAAGTAAAATGTCTTGTCGGTACAACTGGTCTCACTCTGGTTTGTAGGAGATTCTGATTGTTCTCACTCCCAAGTTTGACATTTCAGAGACGAATGTAATTGTGCATTAAAATTGGTATGTTTTTTGTTTTGTTTTGTTTAAAATGTTATGTAAGTTTTGGTTCTATGTTATAGCATATAGTTACGATGCTGTGCATTGTTGTTTCCAATTTCGTTTGTTTTAGTACATATAATATATTTATGTACATTGTGGTATGTTGTTGTTTGGAAAGTATTTGCATAAGGCTAAATTTTATTCATCTATGTTGTAAGAGCGCAATTATTCGTTTACATTTTACAGGCAACTTTTTTTAGATGTATACTTCGAATCAAATTTTGTGCGGCTCCTAATTGAATGATTCAGCATTTGAATTACTTTTAATCGAAAATTTATCCACCTTGGTTTAAAAAATCAAGAAACTAAATTCATATTTCACAAAGTGTAGAAAATATATTCAATTTAAGTACGTGGGAGCCATTAAAAATTTGCCTTTTTCATTAAGCGAAAAAATATACGTCTTTTTTCGACTGCATTTTAAGTCAACTTTTGCCGCATGACCATATATATTTTTTGGCTGTTAAACAACGCTGACATTTCTATAGTAGTACCAGGAACTGCTACGATTTTTTTTTCTAGAGTTTGTATTCTTCAAGAAATAAAATATGCAACACCACTGGTACCCTATACAAACATGCATTACGAGTAATTTCGCTCTTGTAACCTTAGGCGACAAGTGAAATCATGCCTATAGTATAGTAGATTAGTGATCAGTATATAATGTTAATACAGCCATATCATGACAATATATCATTCATTTGAACAACTTTCTGTAGATATCAATACGAGGTCACGACCTGAAATATTATAGTTTTGTTCTCCTTAATAAGGTCAACTATTCTGTCAATGCATTTATATCTTGCAATCTATATGTGTAGTAATTATATCAAAAAGTGGCATGTACATGTAACTGTCGATCAATCAACAAAATCTATATCTACACTGACGGTCATACTGTTTTATTAGCTTTTAATTCATAACGAAAGAAACATAGTGTTATAATCATGGCATTTCATTTCATTTAATTGTAATCGCATTAACCAGATAATATTAAACAGTTAATCATCCGATTATGATTTATGTCAATACTTCAGTTTCCCATGTAGGAATCAGATAAAAACACATTACAAATGAAACAGGATAGGAAAATAAATAACAAAAAATATATTTGAAACAACGCACCACGACGTTCTTAAATGATAATTTAATTGGGCTACGCGACTTTTTAATTTGAGCTCATGAAAAATTGAATGAAACGATTTAGCGTGTAAAAAATTTCTACATTCCTAAATTACTACAAGAACTTTATCAATTCATAATTCGAATTTTAGAATAAACATAATCTAATCCTCGAATTCGCGTGATAATATATATATATATACGGACACTGTATAGTTTAAAAAAATAGAAATACCATATAATTTCATATTTTTCGTATATCGCTTTTATCAATAGTGTTGCGTGAATCTTTGGGCTTGTATATACACGCTCTTTATACTAGTAGATATTCGAGGATTGGATTATAAAATTAAAATTGAGAATGGAAATGGGGAATGTGTCAAAGAGACAACAACCCGACCATAGAGCAGACAACAGCCGAAGGCCACCAATGGGTCTTCAATGCAGCGAGAAACTCCCGCACCCGGAGGCGTCCTTCAGCTGGCCCCTAAACAAATGTGTATACTAGTTCAGTGATAATGGACGTCACACTAAACTCCAAATTATATACAAGAAACTAAAATTAAAAATGATACAAGACTAACAAAGGCCAGAGACTACTGACTTGGGACAGGCGCAAAAATGCGGCGGGGTTAAACATGTTTTTTGAGATCTCAACCCTCCCCCTATACCTCTAGCCAATGTAGAAAAAAACAAACGTACAACAGTACGCACAGTAAAACTCAGTTTAAGAGAAGTCTATGTTTATTTTAAAATTCGGATTATGAATTGATAAAGTTCTTTATACTTTAGACTTGTATACATTAATCATGTTTGTAAGTGATGGTCATTCCCAGGCGATCCTATAGTCTGTGATTTTGTTTTTGATTAAATCGTAAATCGCTATCTAGTGAGAAATTATATTAAATATGTAAAGTCTGGTTAATTCTGGTCGGATACAAACTTGCCCTTTTCAATTACGTATATATATGTCCGTCAAGAACGTATATGCTGTTATTAAGTATAAATTTGAAACATATAGCGCCACTTACAAACAAGGTTTTGTTTAAAGTTAATATGTTATAAGATAAAACGTATTGAATTAATAATTTAGAATTCAATTACCTTATATAACTTTAATATTAAGCAAAAATATGTCAGGGATGTCAACCTACATTTCAAATATTAAAACAAATTATCAATTAAAATGATTTAACACTGTTATAGCCCGAGAAACATGACAGAGCAATGAAATGGATATAATATGAATACCATTATGAAATTGGTCTCATCTAGAAAATCAACCCATACGTGATAAAGTTAATCATATTTCTTGCGTCTTTCATTTCGGGGACTAAATCCGTTCGCCTAACTTCTGTGGCATCATCATCATAGCCGCCCGTTTACTAAAACTGTCAAGATAAAAAAAACATATTCTATAATATTATATAATATAATAATTCAATAATTAATTTAGTACTCCTTTACAATGGCATGGTAGAAGTGACGTCTACTACTAATTACTATTATTTACAACGTAATGATAAAAAGTCTTTACGGGCAATGATATATATGACACTTTGATTATATGAAACTAGAAGTCTCATAGATTGATCAGCATTAAAAGACACTCTCTAAAATGTCAAAATTTACATACATTCATGTACATGAATAAAACCTGTATTTAATGTGTAAACTATATCAAGTACACATGGGTCACTTAAGTAACATTTTGATTTAAAATACTATTGCAAAGTTGAATCATTTTATATTGTTCTAGGAAGTTCATGATATGTATTTCCATAGTCTTTGAAAAAAAGTTTGTAAATATTTGACTACAATATGATACATATGTAATTATCTAAATCGTTAACATAACCGGATTTATGTAGAGTTTTTATAAGGTTAACTGGAAAATTATGGTATATTAACTTAATTGTTGAAATTGGGGTTACACTAGTTTTTAGTATCTTCTAATACTCTTAGTTGTGTCTTTTCTTCTTCTGTTAGTTTTTCTGTTTAGTACCGATTTTGATGAGTCTATTCCTTTTCGCCAGATTTTTTCAGTTTGCTATATTGTTTTTACTTTTACACTTCAATCCCACGCTAGGGAAATTTTGAACTGAATGTTTAAATCCGCCACATTCTTCGTGTGCGTAGGAGCCTTAAACAAGTGGTTGTCATTGATTGCTGTCAATCATCGTTGTTTTAATTTAAAACAGGCCGTTGATATTCTATTTAGAAATTTTTCATGTTTTTTTTTACGGATAGTCGTCACAATGGGAATCACACTGCAGCCCTTTGATTCTTTAGGGATAGTTGTCTCAATGGGAATCACACCACAACCCTTTGATTCGTGAAGAAGTCGTCTCAATAAGAACCACACCACACCCCTTTGATTTTTGAGGGATAGTCGTCTCAATGAGAATCTCACCACAGCCCTTTGATTTTTGAGGGAAGGTCGTCTCAATGATAATCTCACCACAGCCCTTTGATTTTTGAGGGATAGTCGTCTCAATGAGAATCTCACCACAGCCCTTTGATTCTTGAGGGATAGTCGACTCAATAAGAATCTCACAACAGCTCTTTGATTTTTGAAGGAAAGTCGTCTCAATGAGAATCCCACCACAGCCCTTTGATTCTTGAGGGATAGTCGTCTCAATGAGAATCTCACCAAAACCCTTTGATTTTTTAGGGATAGTCGTCTCAATGAGAATCTCACCACAGCCCTTTGATTCTTGAGGGATAGTCGTCTCAATGAGAATCACACCACAGCCCTTTGATTTTTAGGGATAGTCGTCTCAATGAGAATCTCACCACAGCCCTATGATTTTTGAGTGATAGTTGTCTCAATGAGAATCACACCACAGCCCTATAATTTTTGAGTGATAGTCGTCTCAATGAGAATCTCACCACAGCTCTTTGATTCTTGAGGGATAGTCGTCTCAATGAGAATCTCACCACAGCTCTTTGATTTTTGAGGGATAGTCGTCTCAATGAGAATCTCACCACAGCTCTTTGATTTTTGAGATATAGTCGTCTAAATGGGAATCTGACCACAGCTTTTAAATTTTATTGTTATATTTACAGCATATGTCAAACAGGGACACCCGATAACTGCTACATGTTCAAATATTGTGTATCGATAATGTTTATCGTGTATCCATCCTTCAGTTATGAAATAATAAAAAGTCTTTTAATTGTATTTCCACATTGGTTTTTTATCATGACTATATTCAAAATAATAACAACAACAATCTGATTAAAGAAATATACAGGTACATTCGTATATTTATGTTTGTTTTCCGTCATTTATTTGTAAGTGTTTGAGTTCTCTAAATGAGTTTATGATTTAGGTATTCTTTAATATCAATATAGATTACGGAAGATGTAAGTAAATGTTTTTTTTTTCATGCTGAAACCCTTTATACAGCTTACTATAGGGAATGGTTGTTGCTTTTATTGAAACCTTACGATGACGTGCAGGTTATTACATCATTGCACTTTAATTCTTGAGGGATAGTCGTCTCAATGAGAATCACACCACAGTCCTTTGATTCTTGATGGATAGTCGTCACAATGGGAATCACACTGCAGCCCTTTGATTCTTTAGGGATAGTCGTCTCAATGGGAATCACAATACAGCCCTTTGATTCTTGAGGGATAGTCGTCTCAATGAGAACCACACCACACCCCTTTGATTTTTGAGGGATAGTCGTCTCAATGATAATCTCCCCACAGCACTTTGATTTTTGAGGGATAGTCGTCTCAATAAGAATCTCACCACAGCTCTTTGATTCTTGATGGATAGTCGACTCAATAAGAATCTCAGAACAGCTCTTTGATTTTTGAGGGAAAGTCGTCTCAATGAGAATCTCACCACAGCCCTTTGATTTCTTGAGGGATAGTCGTCTCAATGAGAATCTCACCCCAGCCCTTTGATTTTTGAGGGATAGTCGTCTCAATGAGAATCTCACAACATCCCTTTGATTCTTGAGATATTGTCGTCTCAATGAGAATCACACCACAGCCCTTTGATTTTTGAGGGATAGTCGTCTCAATGAGAATCACACCACAGCCCTATGATTTTTGAGTGATAGTTGTCTCAATGAGAATCTCACCACATCCCTTTGATTCTTGAGGGATAGTCGTCTTAATGAGAATCTCACCACAGCTCTTTGATTTTTGAGGGATAGTCGTCTCAATGAGAATTTCACCACAGCTCTTTGATTTTTGAGGGATAGTCCTCTCAATGAGAATCTCACCACAGCTCTTTGATTTTTGAGGGATAGTCCTCTCAATAGGAATCTCACCACAGCTCTTTGATTTTTGAGGGATAGTCGTCTCAATGAGAATTTCACCATAGCTCTTTGATTTTTGAGGGATAGTCGTCTCAATGAGAATCTCACCACAGCTCTTTGATTTTTGAGGGATAGTCGTCACAATGAGAATCTCACCACAGCTCTTTGATTTTTGAGGGACAGTCGTCTCAATGAGAATCTCACCACAGCTCTTTGATTTTCTAAATGAGTTTATGATTTAGGTATTCTTGAATATCAATATAGATTACGGAAGATGTAAGTAAATGTTTTTTTTCATGCTGAAACCCTTTATACAGCTTACTATATGGAATGGTTGTTGCTTTTATTGAAACCTTACGATGACGTGCAGGTTATTACATCATTGCACTTTAATTCTTGAGGGATAGTCGTCTCAATGAGAATCACACCACAGTCCTTTGATTCTTGATGGATAGTCGTCACAATGGGAATCACACTGCAGCCCTTTGATTCTTTAGGGATAGTCGTCTCAATGGGAATCACAATACAGCCCTTTGATTCTTGAGGGATAGTCGTCTCAATGAGAACAACACCACACCCCTTTGATTTTTGAGGGATAGTCGTCTGAATGATAAAATCACCACAGTTCTTTGATTTTGGGGGATAGTCGTCTCAATGAGAATTTCACCACAGCCCTTTTATTCTTGAGGAATAGTAGTCTCAATGAGAATCTCACCACAGCTCTTTGATTTTTGAGGGATAGTCGTCTCAATGAGAATCTCACCACAGCTCTTTGATTTTTGAGGGATAGTCCTCTCAATGGGAATCCCACCACAGCTCTTTGATTTTTGAGGGATAGTCGTCTCAATGGGAATCTCACCACAGCTCTTTGGTTTTTGAGGGATAGTCGTCTCAATGAGAATCTCACCACAGCTCTTTGATTTTTGAGGGAGAGATGTCTCAATGAGAATCACACCACAGCCCTATGATTTTTGAGTGATAGTTGTCTCAATGAGAATCTCACCACAGCCCTTTGATTCTTGAGGGATAGTCGTCTCAATGGGAATCTCACCACAACTCTTTGATTTTTGAGGGATAGTCGTCTCAATGAGAATCTCACCACAGCTCTTTGATTCTTGAGGGATAGTCGTCTCAATGGGAATCTGACCACAGCTTTTAAATTTTATTGTTATATTTACAGCATATGTCAAACAGGGACACCCGATAACTGCTACATGTTCAAATATTGTGTATCGATAATGTTTATCGTGTATCCATCCTTCAGTTATGAAATAATAAAAAGTCTTTTAATTGTATTTCCACATTGGTTTTTTATCATGACTATATTCAAAATAATAACAACAACAATCTGATTAAAGAAATATACAGGTACATTCGTATATTTATGTTTGTTTTCCGTCATTTATTTGTAAGTGTTTGAGTTCTCTAAATGAGTTTATGATTTAGGTATTCTTGAATATCAATATAGATTACGGAAGATGTAAGTAAATCGAGTTTAACAAAATGTAGTTTGCCTAGTTCAAACGGGAAATCTTGTTATTCAGTAGAGGTAGTTTCTATTAAAATATTTAATCACATTATTTCTGTTATATGACGTATTTTAGAATTTCCTAGCAAAAATAAAACAATTACTACATTGAAGTTATATCAAGTAGTGATTAAAGTTATAAGTTACAAAATAAAAATAAAATAGAATTTTATCCTTTCAAGGTGACAAAATAGTAGCACGTAGCAATGTGGAAAATAACAAAATTAGAAATATATCCAATTCCTTTGCAGTTAGCTTGTAAATAGTGCTTGTATTTGTTTTCTTGGATTTACTCTGTTATTTTGTTAACTTTGTTACATTGTGTTATGAATTATTATTCATAAAATTCAAAACATGTATATATTAGATTGACAACTGAAAAAACAAGTAGCTTTATTATATTAACCTCTGCTATCTGTAAAGGTATTTGTTTGTTTTTTTTTCTGCTTTTGGCATATTGTTGTCTGTCTTTCGATTAGGTTTTTGACTGCCCTTTTGGTTTTTATCTTAAATTTTTGGTTTTTACAATCCAAGTTATATTTGATTTAAAAAAAAAAATTCAAATGGAGAAATACAAATGTACTAAATTAAAAATACCAGATTCTATATAAAAATATGAAATTTATAGCTTAACCTTTAAATCTAGCATAGAATCGAACATTTAAATACGATAGCCATTGTTTGTATTTTGTAAAGAAAAGTAAAAAAAAATGGAGAATGTGTCTATGGGACACAGATGTTGCCCCCGCTTGGCATAAAACGTTATAAAGAGGCATAACTCGAGAACGGTAAAAGTGACACCAACAAAATTCGAACTTGATCTGAGTTTTGTGGTAAAAAGTGATTTTAATGTGTTTACTTACTCACTTTTATGACAATCATTTAAAAAGCCAAAGTTAAATAGCCATTTTTTAAAAACACAACGATGACTCAATACACACATTCCACTTTTGAAATACATTAGAAACATTACAGCATGCACAAAACCTAATGCTAAATAAATCAGTGGGAAAACTTCGGAAAAAATCATCTCCATTCCGAAAAAAAATCTTCTATGTTTTGCAATTAACCTGTCTATAAAAGGTTGAATGATCAAAAACAATGTATTTTTACCCCCAGACATAAATGATCTTAGCCTTACTTCTGAATTTTTGGTTTTTCAAAGCGGTTAAACTTTATATTTGATTTTACTTCCCTACTGTTTTTATTTAAGCGCCACTGACGAGTCTTATGAAGACAAACACGTGTCTGAGTACCAAATTACAAGCTTGGTATCTTTGATAGTTTTGGCACAGTAGGTGATATATAATTACCAGTTGTAGACTAGAAATACATGGTAGGTACTTGCAAGACATTTTTTTCACTTGTATAGTCTAACTTCTCGACGTGGGCTGTTAGACGTTGATCCTATTTTTGAAAACCAACAGCTTACACCATATCTTACTAATATTTCAGATGTCGTTGACACATATTGCCCTCAGTATCCCAGAGCTAAGTTAGTCCACGACAAAAACTGTGCAAGATATTATGACTGTAGTGATTTTGGTAATAAGAGAATGCCATACTTGAAGGAATGTCCATACCCTCAGCTTTTCAATACGGATACTTTAACATGTGATGACTATAAGTATGTAGAGTGTGAAGAAAGATACAGACCGGTAACTCCATGTTAGTATACTTAATAACTAATATAGTAACTATATTTAATTGTAGATAATATATATGGAGACTATACGTCAAATGAAATAGGAAATCTAATATGATTTAAATACGTTTATTTTCTTTTTAGAAATGTTTTCTGATTCAGACTAATAAACGATAGCAATGTTTTGTACATTGAGAAAGCTTTACATGCATTTTGTACAGACAGACTAAATCAAAGCTTGCGTTTGTTTCTGTAAATTCATTTGTCAGCATATGCATGAAAATTGTATTTCTTGAACGACCAGGTCAGTTGTTTTCCGTTTAAGCATGTTAAATGTATTTCGCCATGCCAAATAACATTTTTTTGTATAACGTTACATATCAAACAATTTATAAATATCTATATAGAAAGGTATGATGCGCCATTGTTGTTAAAGTTATACCGATCAGGTAAAATATATTGATTAATGATGTACTTATCTATCCACTGTGGTCAATAATTATAGGCGATTACAAACTGAGTCAGTGCAGAGGACCTAACTGTCCACCATGCGAGTCAAAACAAGAAGGATGCGAGGGACATCCAAATGGAGCAAAGGCATATCCTGGACGTCTGCTTACAGAATATTTCCTTGTATGCTTCAATAATAAAACTAATGCCATAAAAACATGCACAGACAATAAGTTATTTGATCCTATCCAAGGAAAATGTACACTCGACCTAGACCCAAGTAAGTAGCGGAGCGTTGATTTTAATCGAAGAGTGAAAAGTATGTTATGTAAATTTTGAGGTGCAGAAAATAAACGATAAAAGAGTACAGAAACACGTATTATTTCTTGAGTAAACACCCATTTCTATCAGTTACGATCAAAATGGAAAGAGGGGAAATATCCTCGTAATTTCATGCATATGTATATATGTTGTAAGGACTATGATGTCTATTAAATCAAGAGTTTCAAGTGGTGAAGTTGAAATCATCCCTTCGTAAATTTTACGGACGCCATCACGAGTTGGTTGACCGTTATGATTTGTACTAACATGAGCTACATGACAGGTGCCACATGTGGAGCAGGATCTACTTGCACTTCCGAAGCACGTACCTGAGATCATCCCGAGTTTTTGGTGGGGTTCGTGTTACTCAGTCTTTGGTTTTCTATGTTGTGATTTTAAGTACTGTTGCTTGTTTTTCTTTTTAGCCATGGCGTTGTCAGTTTATTTTCGATTTGTTAGTTTGATTGTCCCTTTGGTATCTTTTGCCTCTCTTTTATGGAGTATCCGTTTCACAGATGACAACGGATATGTTCCAATTGTCGTAACTACAATCCCGTCCCCTTTTCCCCGAATGTGACGTACCAAATTAGACTTATCACCGGGTTTGTACTAATATAAGCAACATGACGGGTGCCACATGTGGAGCAGGATCTGCTTACCCGTCCGGAGCACCTGAGATCACCCAGTTTTTGGTGAGTTCGTGATGCTCAGTCTTTGGTTTAACATGTTAAGTTTTGTGTACTGTTGTTTGTCTGTTTGTCTTTTCCTTTTTTAGCCATGGCGTTGTCAGTTTATTTTCGACTTATGAGTTTCAATGTCGTCTCTTTTTTTATGTCCACGTACATTGACATCTAGCCACAAGTATTAGGAAAAATATCCTTGAAATTAAAAAGTCTAAGTGCAGCATTTTTGTTCGTTATTATGATGTACATTTATCAAACCGTTATACAAAAAGACAACGAAGATTTAAATCTATGTTAAGAGCTAATATATACACATTGTTGGGTATATTATTAGTATTTTGAAAAGCAAACATTCGAACAAAAGCTTGAAAATATGTATTCAAGGACAATGCACAGATTTTCGTCTTCAAATTTACAAAATATACGCATTTTTAGACATATACGAAACTAATTGTGTGTAGAAATTAATTCAGCAGGTGTCAATTGGTTTTCAATGAACCTTTCATACCATTTTTTCCAGTGGCACTAGACGTCTACTGCGCATCCAGTGTCGATGCCAAGATTGCACATCCACGCATCTGTTCTCGTTACTATGACTGCAAGCTGACAAGACCACGTGAGAACTTTAACAAATACGAAGGAGAATGTCGCTACCCACTTCTGTATTCCGAACGTTATCAAAGGTGTATAGACTTTGCAGACGTCCAGTGTGGATCTAAAATTGAACCATTGTCACCATGTAAGTTTCTCCATCGATTCTTTATTTCAGTGATAGTACCAACTAAAGTATCACTTTTATTCCTTATAAAAAAGTGTCTGACGTAAGAAGCGAAAGTGAACCCAATAAAAATGAATACGCATTGGTATGATATAAAGAAAATTATTGTTCTTACATTTTTTAAGGGAAAAACATAAAGTGTGTTTCCCTATTTACTATCCAGTAAAGTTCTAAAAACTAGCAATACGCTTTTATCTTTTTTTTGTAAAAGGAAAATGTATGCCAGGGTTCAGTTTGGTAAAAGGAAATAAAGCAAAAAGCAAAACAATGAAGCAGTTTTTCAAATAGAATGCACTTCACTTCTGTGGTAGCAAGATAATATACCTATAATTATCATTTGTATATAGAACATGTAGAAAGTAAATGGTACATGAAATTCAGTTGTTTTAAGTAACAAAAACAGACTGATGTACAAGATATGTCTTCGCAAATTGGTGATCATAACGTATTACAAAAATAAGATGCAAACGATTAGCATTTTTCATTTGTACACTGATAAGAAACAAATCTCAACGTTTACGAACATTCACATTATTATTAAGCATAGACAGATATTGAATAGAAATATAAAAATAAGGAGATGTGGTATGACTGCCAATTAGAGAACTATCCACCAAAGTTCAAATAAGATTGATTTAAGCAATTATAGGCAACCATACGGACTTCAACAATGAGTTAAAACCCACGCCGTATAGTCAGCTATAAAAGGCCCAGGCAAGAAAAATATAAAACAATTCAATTGAGAAAACTAATGGCATAATTTATAACAAAACAACTTACGAAAAACAAATATATGACAGACATGAACCAACGACAACCACTGAACTACAGGCACTTATTTCTAAACAAATTTGGTAACTTGGTACTGGTTATCTGTGTGTATAAAATACTTGATAAATCGTTATAAGATTTTAATGATGCTTGCATTATCTCTCTAGGTGAATATGGACAAAACAGTTGTTTCGGAAGAAATTGTCCGCGATGTAGTGATGGGGTTATACCGTCCTGTGTAGGTCTTTCGGATGGTCAAAATCCATTTCCTGGATATGACAATAGATACCTTGTCTGTCGTATGGATCGCACAGTAGAAACAAGGACGTGTAATGCAGGAGAATTGTTCTCACAAAATCTCAGAGGGTGTTCTACAACTGGAAGTGGATTGGCTAACCGTAGGTTTCATTTCATACATAAATCGTAAATGTCAAATTTTACACTTGTACATATGTCTATAAATTAATAAAAAAAAAACACTTTATATATTTTTTTTCCGTCAAAAGCGCTTCTCTGGATTTACCTTCATCAGGAATGCTCAACGCATATATATTGTTCAATAGATCTTAAGATTTGCTCAAGTTGACTAAAACATAAAACACTTTTGATTAACAGTTTTTAAAAGATTAAAAAGATAAATAATAAATGAATAAACGTTAAGTAAAACACTGAAATATTATTGTATGGAAATTTTTAACATTTACAATTTCATTATACAAATTAATAGCTGGGAGACCTGATACAGGCACTGGAACAATTCCACTGGAACCAGTTAAACCATTTCAACCTGTAAGACCTCCAGTTCAGCCACCATTTCAACCTCCAGTTCAACCACCAGTTCAACCACCATTCCAACCACCAGTCCAACCACCAGTCCGACCTCCAGTACGACCTCCTGTACGACCTCCTACTCAACCACCTGTCGAGCCTCCTTTTCGACCACCTACCCCTACCAGACCTGCAATTGGTCCAGTCATTCCTCCAATAGGATCCGGGCCTTGCGCGGGAAATCCATTGGCCATTCAACAAGACCCAGACAACTGTGCAAGGTACTACAACTGTAGTCAAAGAATCACATTTCAAGGACTTAATTCATTCCAAGCGGAATGTCCGTACCCACAACTGTTTGACACAACTTTAGGATACTGTAACGATTTCCCTGCAGTAACATGTGGCAGGAGATATGAAGCAATGTCTCCATGTGAGTATGATAACTAATCTTCATGCTGTTTAATTCCGACGGACTCCTTCATAAAATAATGTTTTTTATAATCACGGTTTTTGAATACGCAAAATGAGACTTTTTACATCTTTACATATTTTTTTGATTTAGTTGTGAGTTACACAGCAAATGGTTTACGAAAAATCTTTATCGACAAGGCACTATTTGCTTTTCCGTTTGGTCAATTTATATAAGTGTTGGTTTCAGATACTTGGTTGTAAACTGAATACGATACGGGCAATTATTCATTTTGAAGATAGCATGCAATCCTAAAATTACATGTACGTAAGACAAAATGTATATAAATAATTTCAATAAAATAAGTCTTTCAATTACAGTTATTTTTAATATGCTCCATTATGTTTCAGGTGATTATGTTACCACACGTAATTCTTGTGTAGGAGAATCGTGTGCAATACCATGCGAAGAACGGTCGCCATCTTGTGTTGGTATGCCAGATGGAAACAATACTTTTCCCGGAAGAGAACTTACTCCATTCTATATGACCTGCCTTCGTAACAGGACACTCTCTGTTGGAATATGTAAATATGGAGTCTATGACCCTACGAAGAAGTATTGTACGACAGATTTAGATCCATGTGAGTAAATTTTAAAATGCTCAAATTGTGCTTTTACTAGGAAAATTTTGAATGCTGGTTTTTGTTGTACATGTGTGCATTTAACGATTATTAAAAAAGATTAAAATAGAGTCCATATCTTTATTAATGCCTTTTTATCATTGAGTTCTCAAAATTACCCCTGTGTTTTGTCAAATCCTAACATCTTGTATTATCTGGATTGTCTGTTACTCCTATGCTGTTATAAAGTTGAAATATCTACATGTATCAAGCATTTATTGCATTTACCTTAAAATGCCATCATTCGTCATAATAGTATTTTTTTTGTTCCAGATTCTGTTCAGGTATTTTGCCAAGATAAACCAAACATCAAATTCCCACACATTGCAAATTGTGCTCGATACTATGACTGCAGTGCTATCGAATCTGACCCGGTATTTGGAAAATACCAGAGGGAGTGTACTTACCCTACACTGTTTAATATTGACCTCCTTCGGTGTGTTCCTCCAGTGGAAGCTGACTGTCAATGGCGATATGAACCTAAAGATCCTTGTAAGTGGCATAGTTTTCATATATCACTAAATTTAATTTTGCAGAAGATTTCTATAAATCTGTTATCTTTTTTCATTATTTACATTGGTTATCTATTTCTGCTGTTAATTTGTTTGAATATGATTTTATTTGTATTATTGTTAAATTAAGTTCTTTTAATTTTGTTATGCTTTCTTCTTAAACCATTCGAACTTTTCAAGATTTTTTTAATTTTGAATAATTAATTGGACAACACAAGTTATAATCGAACATACCATATAGACTCCCATTTATTCCAATTGGTGTTTTACGTATTGGGACTTTTTTATATTAACCAATTTAGTGCTAACTTACTTTTTATATCTTATTTTCTATAATTACTAATAAACCATCATTTATTAAATCATAGAATGAAACTTAATCAAGTTTTGTAGCATTAATTCCTCGATTAATGAATGAGCTCCTAATGTAGAACTTATATTTCTTGCTATTTCAAATTGTCATATATTTTACATAAACCTGGTATTAATCCGCAGGCGGTTTCCTTGGAAACCAGAGATGTGATGTCAATAACAGAAACTGCGTTCCATGTGTTGACACATTGAACATATGCGCAGGTGTAATGGCGGGAAACATCGCTATTGCGGACAATAAAATGGAATACGCCGTTTGTAAGCAGGGGAGGTTCTTTACTACTGTTAGCTGCGCCCCTTATAACTTCAATCCATCAACAAAAGGATGCGAGACGGCTGTTAATTCATGTGAAGGCCTACCTAACGGGAAACAGTCTATGCTAGGTTCAGAATCAAACTATGTACTTTGTTTCAATCAGAATGTTGTTGAATTTGGAAGCTGTGAACCTTTATTATTTGATGCAAATTCCAAGCAGTGTTCACAGCAGCAAAAATCTAAATGCAGTGGATTGTCAGATGGTAAATACCCAACACCTAATATATTCCAATACATAGTCTGTACAAATGGTAGACAAACCAGTGTTGGCGATTGTAGTCCAGCTATTTTTGATTCGAGAGAATCTAAATGTATTAAGCCTGAATTTTCCTGCGATAGATTGCCTGATGGAAATTATGGACATAATGATGGCACAACATATTATAGCTGTGTAAAGGGGGCGTTTGCTGGGAAGAATACTTGTAATCCAGGTGTATTCGATTTCTTAGAGGGAAAATGTCTTCCATCAGCATGTCGTGGAAAACAAGATGGCAGATTTGCCTTACCCGGAAGTGACATTCACTACATGACTTGCACTAATCAGGAAGTTGTGAAAGTAAGGAAATGCGAAAGGTATACATTTGACGAATCATTAGGTAGATGTACAAAGTCTGTGAGCTTTTGTTCTAATTTGCCAGATGGATGGCACCAGATGAAAGAAATGTTTATTTATATGTACTGTGTGGACAGAAAACCATCTAGAATTGTAGTTTGTCCTGCAGAGGTATTCGATACTGTAAATGGAGTTTGTTTAGAAGGATATGCCCCATGTAAGAGACAAATATTGGTATTTGCGGTGCAATATCAGCTTTACGTGTGGTGCACGTTTGTATGTGATGACATTCATAGGCGCTGGCGCATCTGTATATGAGCAAAACTGCAATGCATTTGCTTTTAGAAAGTATACTCAACATAAAATAAACATTTTAGTAGCCAATAGCATGTGCATAGACGTTGTGGCTTTGCAATCTACTGCATGAAATTTCAAATCCTTTTTTGAATGTTGTAGCTTTGCAATGTGTTGTTTGCTTTTCATTGTTGAACGTCTACACCATAATGAATACAAAGGAATATAAAGCAAAATGGTTTGATTGCTAAAGTTATCAATGTGAACTGAATTCTTAATTCTAAAAACTTTTAAAAAATAAAGCAAAAACTAGCTCTTTTAGAATGAACATTTCACGCTTTGCATGCATCAAAACAAGGATGATACTTATAACAATACAGAAAGTAAATAACTTAATCATGTTTCAAAATATTTGTAGTTGACTGCTTTAAAATTTTATATATATATATATATATGATTCGTCTCAAATTTAGCCCATCGATGTTAGATCTGCAAATTTATATAATATATATACCCGGTATATAAATGTGTGTATGTGTGTGTGTGCTTTCAATCAATGCAACAACAAAAAGCTGATTAAACGGTTAAATAAACAATGCTGAACAAGCTGCTTAAGTAAGGCGAAGGGAAATAGAATAATTGTTTTTCAGTTTGAGGATTTAAGGCAATATTCGGTTCGAAAATATGAAATATCGTAATAGTACATAAAGTAAGGGTGTGTTTTTAGAAGTATAACAACCTCCCATAAAAAAATTACTCCGATCGCTTCTGTCGCGTACATTACAAGGAAGTATTTACCATCATACAACTCATGCAAACATTATTGAGTGTTGTTTGACTTTATTTTAAAAGAATCTTATTGAATCAAAACCGTATCTTAAGCGAGAGGATAGAGTTACAAAAAAAAAATAAAAAAAATACAGATCTTCACAAAAAGTTGGTGTAACTGACTAGCATTTATTTTTCATTTGTCAAGCCAAATTTTTAGTTGGAGTTTAGTTTTCAAGTATGTTGTTAGTTGCCATAATATTGCTGTATGTAAGGATGTGTTACATTGTATTTGTTCATCCTAAGTAGGGGTATAACTGACCTTTATTTCATAATACATTTACCTAGATCAGAATTTTATTCTTCAAAAGTTTTCCGATAGTCTTTTTGATATCATTAAATGATTTATGTCAGCTTTATGTACTCTATTTCATTTGAAATAAAATGTATTACATGTAGTCATACTAAAAAAAAACCAAAACACATTAACAATCTTAGAATATTGCGAACATAAATTGCCACGAAATCGGAAAGGAGGGATTGTCCCCGAAAATAAGTTGGTTTACAGTATTTAGAAATTATATACTCAACAAATACTTACTATATTTGCTATTCTTATTTGAGCATACTTTTAAAACAATTTTAGTTAATGTCTTTTCATGCAGTTACGATGTAGTTTCGACTGTATAGATTATTTAGTTGAACAAAAGATATGTTTGGAGTAAGATATATATTAGGCATATTATGAAGCCCAATATTGAAAATATCTTGGATATGCACTTGATGATATATATTAATCAATGTATTGCAGCTGATCCTGTAACATTTTGTGAGAATAACCCTACAGCTATAATGCTACATCCGGAAAGTTGTGCCCGATATGTAGACTGTAGGAATAGGAATACACTGTTAGGCAACTATCAGGAGGAATGTGCGTATCCACAGCTATTTGATAGCTTTAACAACTCATGTAAACCTTATAGAGAGGTCAAATGTGGAAACAGACCAGAACCTAAAGCCCCATGTAAGTATATAACATTTCATCAAAACTTCTTAGAGGTTAAATATCAATAGTTCTATACAACCTCATCATAGAATGTATATCCAACAGTTTATAAAGCTCTCGCAATAAGACTAAATATGGAAAGTCCCATACACTTTTTAACAATAGATACATTATGTTACTCTAAATGTATTTTCCTGATTGGAGTCAGATTTAATGTGTCAAGTTTCATTTAAGTCTATAAGATATAACCGCAGAGAAAGCATACCGAAAGCTTTGACAGTTTAAAGTGCAAATATAGAAAAAATCCGGGACAAAAATTCAATTCTAAGTTATAGTAGCTTTCACTATACTTCATAAACGTAACATAAAGGTTAAATGTCTAATGAGACCAAAATCAAAAAACTTTATCAAATTTCTGGTTACAAGCATTTCAATTTAAATACATTGAATTCGGCATTTTTCACAATATAATAATTGAATTAATTTAATTTCACTGCTGTCAGTTAAAGCCAAAAACAAAACTCTACAATAAGGCAATCTCATTAGAATGCGTAGTTTTGAAAACTAGTACCAGATTTAAGTGACTGCTCCGTAACATTTCCAATGCCTTTTTTAAACACTTATATCCGACTTTGTATGTAGAGTCTAAAATCTGACTTCTTTGTTGTAATATTAATAGTCAATACACTATATAAAGTATGTTATTATAAGAATAAAACACTGATTATTTAAAACAGAGTCAAAACATAATTAAAAAAAAACTGTTACCTTGTAATTGATTTATTGCGTTGGGGAATGGTGAAAACTTTTAAGTGCCTTTTGCATTTGAAAGTTTAGCGTGAATATTTTTGAAAGAAATTTTTAATAATTAATTTATCTCATTATCTATTCATGTACATCTGTGAGGCACAGAAATAAAACTACATTGTTCGTTTCAATTAATGAAGGTGATTATCAGAAACAGAAGATATGTGTTCCCGCTGGAAACTGCCGTCCATGTGAATTAGATAACCCCAACTGTGTCGGTAAACGTGATGGACCCCAAGCTGTACCAAATAAACCAGAATATTTCATGCAATGTAAAGATGAACGTACCATCAGTGTAACACAATGTCCACCCACTGCTCCAAACTTTGATGTTACCAGTGGTTCATGTACAGTAACACTTAACCCCTGTAAGTACCATTTATCAATGTAACACAACACTCATGCATTGGTGTAGAGTCTAGCTTGTGAATAATAATACTGTTACACTAAGTCCATAACGATACCAGCTATTTGTGTAACAAGCTTGTCCTTTGTACTTTGACAAATAATTCCTGTAAGTATAATCAATTTAGGAATTCACTTCCAAAGTTAATTTCCTTCTCTTGTATTGTAACGGGGCTTATGGACCTACATATATGATAAATGATAAATGCATAGACTTTTTATTCCAAACTTTAGATTTATCATTTTTGTCCTATTCCCTTTAATGATACCTTTTTTAAATTTGCATTCTCATGGCGGGTGATGCTTGCTGAGCGGGAAACATTTACCTAGTCCATATACCAGTTCTCGCTCCTTTTAAAGTCCATACACGGATCCATGAGATTTTTGCTCATTTTTATAAAACAAATAATTTACAAGCTTTGAACATCTATAAACTACTATTGACTCTTACTTGAGATATTGATTTTCATTTTCAAGTAAACCCTGGTCCCTACTGCGAAGCAAACCCGACAGCTGTTGTGCCACATCCAGATAATTGTGCTCAGTATATAGACTGTAGACAAAAGAACACACCATTAGGAAACTATAGACAGGAATGTCCTTATCCTCAGCTGGTATCACTGGCGGATGCTACTGGTTTACCATGTAAAACATTCCAGTCTGTCCAATGTGGAGCTAGACCTGAACCAAAGAATGCATGTAAGTAAGAACTATCACTTAGTAAGTTATATTGATATCAGTCTGTATACATGCATGTAACCTATACATGTATTACCTTTGCAGTTTTCTAAAACAAAAATACATACAATTATATAACAATCAGACTCAGATCGACGTTTTTAAATTCGGTGTCCGATCTGATGTCACAGTCTCAAATAAACGTCCAAACTTATCTTCTTCTCGGTGCTTATATAATTTACCAGAGTGAAATCCGATCAGAGATTCTCCTTTAATCAACGCCAAATAGTAATTAGTCAGTTTGTTTCAAATTTATGTTCTCTATGGAGATCTTTCTGCCTTCGTGTTATCCTGTCTAAAAAGAAAAACATGTTTCTTCGTTTGTTAAAAAAAAATATTTTTTCTCTCACTCCTTATGATACAAAGTCATAAATATTCCGCTTAAAACATAAACCAAACTGTTAAACTTAGAATACTTAGTTCCGTTTGAATTAAGTGTTCGATTCAAATGATCTTCTTTTTGTCTTATTTATGCGTTCAACTATTAGATTGTATTTCTCTGGTTTCCTCAATGTAGTCTTATTAACATGACACATTCATTATATGCTTTCTTTCCCTTTTTTTGATTTCGTTACTCACTTTATATCGTCTCCATAAAAAGCGTTGAATATACTAGTAACAAGCGGTTCCATAAAAAGGCGTTTAATATATCTATCGATTCTTTTAAGGGCGTTTATTATAGCTATCGACTCTTATTAAAGGCGTTTAACATATCTATCAATTCTTGTAAAGGCGTTAAATATATCTATCGATTCTTTACAGGCGTTTAATATATCTATCGATTCCATAAAAGGCTTTTGATATATCTATCGATTCATTAAAAGGCGTTTAATATATCTATCGATTCTTTTAAAGGCGTTTAATATATCTTTCGATTCTTTTAAAGGCGTTTGATATATCTATCGATTCTATAAAGGGCCTTTAGTAATATCTATCGATTCCTTTATAAATCGTTTAATATATCTATCGATTTTTTTAAAAGGCGTTTGATATAACTATTGATTCTTAAAAGGCGTTTAATATAGCTATCGAGTTTATAAAAGGCGTTAAACATTTCTTTCGATTCTCTAAAAGGCGTTTAACATATCTATCGATTCTTTAAAAGGCGTTTAATATATCTATCGATTCTTTAAAAGGTGTTTATTATAGCTATCGATTCTATAAAAGGCGTTAAAGATATATATATATCGATTCTTTTAAAGGCGTTTAACATATCTATCGATTCTTTAAAAGGTGTTTAATATAGCTATCGATTCTATAAAAGGCGTTAAATATATATATATATCGATTCTTTTAAAGGCGTTAAATATATCTATCGATTTTTTAAAAGGCGTTTGATATAGCCATCGATGTTTTTAAATGCTGTTAATATATCTACCGATTCTTTAAAAGGCGTTTGATATAGCTATCGATTCTATAAAAGTTGTTTAACATATCTATCGATTCTTTAAAAGACGTTTAATATATCGGGAATCTGAATTTAAGATGTCTTACTTTACCCAAATAAAAATTACATGGATTCAGTGAGGTGCAGAAAAGGGATTTCAATAAGAGAAGACAAGAACCGAACGTCGGTTTGAGTGAGCGAAAAAAAGACTTAAAAAAGAAATTTTATTTAATCAGATTGAACTTCGATATGAGAAAGGGACGTCGATTTGAGACCGGATGTCAATCTGAGTCCTACATATATGTGTTGAAAATCTTAAGTTATAGAATAGAGTAACATACATGTAGTTTGAGCCGAAAATGAAAACATTTTCATTTCTCCTCTGTAGGTGATTACGAGCAGAATCTGATATGCATGGATCCAGCCAATTGTATTCCATGTGACCAAAGATTTCCTAGTTGTTATGGTATGCCGGATGGAAACCACCCGTTTCCAGGGCAACCGAACAAGTACATTGTGTGTTTATCGGATAGAACCCTAAGAACAGAAACATGTGACCTAGGACAGTTTGATCCTTTGACTGGATCATGTTCTGTCAAATTTGATCCAAGTAAGCACAAAAATAACTTTAAAAAAGGATTGCTCTGTCACAGGGTTATTATCTTCTTAATCTATGTCGACGAAAGTATAATAGACAAATAATAAAACGTCACCCCCAGGCTATCTGACTTTTGTTCAATCGTAAAGAACGTTATTTAACAGTTCTAGACATCTGTTCCTTTTATCTCTAGCAGCAGAAAGAGTCAGAACAGATAATCAGCCAGTATTAATTGATTACTGGTTAAGACCTTTATTCTTCATCATGTTTATAGGCTTTTGATTTTCCTTTCGTTGCTCATAATATCTCATTCTGGGGATTAATAGTTTATTGGTATGCTCTAGTAAATCAAATATATTTCATGAAATTTTGAAATTGCAAAATCCAAAAAATCTTCCAAGAGGCTGTCTACAATAAGAATATTTTCCTTTATGATAATGGAATATTTTATTATGTTGACGTAGAACAAGGGAAGAAAAGAAAGTAATAATATAACTAAAAGATTCAGTGATATAGGGATAAGATACAAAACGTTTAATATACAAATATTGTTTTTCGGTGGTTTATACATTTTTTGAATTGTCACATACACGATAATAAAGTAAGAATTGTAAAGAAAAATCAGAATGAATATATTTTTTTGATTTCAGGTAACCCACAAGCATTTTGTAATTTAAATTCAAGAGCCAAGGTAGAAGATCCAACAAGCTGTGCGATTTACTATGACTGTTCTAGCTCTGGTTCTTTGACCAGTCCCTATAAACAAGAATGTCCGTATCCACAGCTATACTCGACAACCTCACAATCATGTGAACTGTTTACAAAAGTCAATTGCGGGGAAAGATATATGCCAGTAAAACCATGTAAATAATTTTGCCTATTTAAACTTATCTTATATGATATAAGTTTACATTGTTTTTTGTATCGATTATATTTATATATTCCAATGTTTCATACATATGATATTTATTCAGCGGTTTTTTTCAACCTTTAAAAAATCGCTTTTATTATTTCGATCAACATTTAAAGCTACTAATCGTTGCATATTTAAGAAATAATTCATGGGGGCTTGAATTTATCGTGATTTTACCACGGGTTGGGCCTTTATGATAAATATTTTACCACGAGCGACAGCGAGGGGTAAAATATCAGCATAAAGGGCCAACCTGTGGTAAAATCAATATAAATTCAAGTCCCCTCCCCCCCATGAATTATTTCTATTCTAATAGGACAAAGTCAGCAATTCTTTTGATTCGAAGTGCTCTATGTGAAGGGAAATGTTTGCAGTTCCCGTAATTAAACACACTATTAATATTGACGTAAACGACCAAGAAAATTGAATAAGTGACATTCTTAAACGATATATACAATAACATACTTAGACAGATTTGGATGAATTTAATTGACTATCTTACTTTCATTTAAGAAGATATGGACATTATACAAATTCTTACCATCGTTTGTTTATGTTATCATGTTTTGACGACTTTCAGTTTCCCATTCGTGCATTTTCCCGTAAAATCCTTACATTCTTACGTCGTCGTTCAATGACGTCATTTACACCATCTGACGTGAGGTAAATCATTCATAAAAACATACGACGTGGGAGTAGGATTAGAACAGCCCAAACAAATCATGACGTTGCCTATCAGCTGACATATGAATATATTCGAATTTTACCACGGGTGTGTACTCACAGCGTTTGAAGAACGTCATATTAGAATTCCCTCTTCAAATATAATATACCTAAAATGATACATAAAATGTAGGAACTAATATGAACAATCACATTGTAATATATAATTTTCAGTATGAATTATTTGTAAACCATTTTGATCTGAACCTGCAATAAGAATTAAACTTTTTTTGTCAGGTGAATATTTACAGAATCAGTGTATAGGTCCAGGCGGTGCACCAGCTCTCAATTGTGAACCTTGTGTAGATCGACTGCCTTCTTGTATTGGGTTACAGGACGGAAATAATACTTTCCCAGGACGACAAAATACACCTTACTATATAACATGCTATCTAAATAGGACAATATTAGTACGTACATGCGAGGAAGGAGTATACGATGAAACGTCTAGAGCGTGTATTTCAAAATTAGATCCAGGTAAGACTTCAGAACACGTGTTTTTTTCAATTCCAATATCTATTGCTATCAAATCCAATTCCAAGAAATAGTGAACATGACCTAAATCATTTGCTGGATACTGATTACAGCATATAAGTATAATGTGTACACTGGGTAAGCGTGTCTATATTAATATGCACAAGGTTCGTTACCATAGTGGATCCGAAGTATATGAATTATTCACTAAATAATCTATATCCATCAAATTATGTCAACGAACTAAAATATGAACAGCTGCTCTTTGCGTTATTTAATGAACTATCTAGAACTAATGTACTTCAGATGTATAAATACCAATCCTTGGTAAAAACAAACTTGTCCTAATGGTACACTTTGGTATCCTACAAGCTACGAATTGTCTTTTACGGTACAGTTTATACTTGGCAAGCTACAACATGTACACGTCTTAAACCCTTGAATGGCATTGAACAAGAATTGTTGTCTTCTTATTTCCGACCCTAAGTGTCATACCATTATTAAAGAAGGGATGTTCACTCACATTCCCCAGAATTTCCTTTCGAACAACCCTATACATTTGACCTGACCTATACTTAACCCGCCAAATATTTGTTAATTTCTGTGTTTTATTCAAGTAAAACTACACGTATTATAAGATTGCTATCAAACCGTTACAACTGTAAACTCTAAATTTTAATTCCGTAAACATCATATAAGATAATAAATGCAAAAACAAAATATGAAAAACAAAATATGTTCATGCGTTTCAATTGCAACAAGGTGGAATCATTGCCGCTACATAGCAAAATTTGCTGATCTTTATCAACTATTTTTACTTTTTCTAATATAAATCAAAATTGCTTGATTGTATGTGTAAGATTCATTCTTTTTTTATTCGAGCGTCACTAATGAGTCTTATGTAGACGAAACGCGCGTCTTGCGTACAAAATTTCAATCCTGGTATCTATGATGAGTTTATTCACATGAAGCGGAATGATAAAAAAAAAATAATTTACAAACAACGAAAAAAAGGAGAAATCCTTATACTAGACTTGTCTCTGGACATTTCACTAATAAAAAAGATGCTAACTAAAACATTATTGAACAGGATTGAGCAAACATTAAAAGATGATTGAAATTAACACTCATAAGTTCTATAGTAACAGCCATTAACTGTTGGGAAATACGTATCGATTTCTGCTGAGAAAACCACGGCCAATATTTCCATCATCGTCTATGAAGCTTTATTATAACATTTGGCACTTAGTACTAAAAATAAGTTTTGAATTGCAAAAATGGTGACATATATTTAATATCCATATGTATCTGGAGTTCTAGACAGATTGAGAAGTGTTAGTAGTGCCAAAAAGATTGAAGTACTTGAAAATTCCATGTGTCAAAAATCATTAGATGAAACATAAAAAGACAAATGAACGGAATAACAAATACAACAATTCATTATATTATTCATGACGTAAACCACGACTTAAAAAGTATTAGATAATACATTCTGTAATCCAATAGATAATACATTCAGTAATCCATCAGATAATACATTCAGTACTCCAATAGATAATACATTCTGTAACCCATAAGATAATACATTCAGTAATCCAATAGATAATACATTCTGTAATCCATTAGATAATACATTCAGTAATCCATTAGATAATACATTCTGTAATCCATTAGATAATACATTCTGTAATCCATTAGGTAATACATTCTGTAATCCATTAGATAATACATTCAGTAATCTTATAGATAATACATTCAGTAATCCATCTGATAATACATTCAGTAAACCAATAGATAATACATTCAGTAATCCATCTGATAATACATTCAGTAATCCAATAGAAAATACATTCTGTAATCCATTAGATAATACATTCTGTAATCCATTAGATAATACATTATGTAATCCATTAGATAATCCATTCTGTAATCCATTAGATAATCCATTCTGTAATCCATTAGATAATCCATTCAGTAATCCAATAGATAATACATTTAGTAATCTATCTGATAATACATTCAGTAATCCAATAGATAATACATTATGTAATCCTTTAGATAATACATTCAATAATTCAATAGATAATACATTCAGTAATCCAATAGATAATACATTCAGTAAACCATTAGATAGTAATCCATCAGATAATGCATTCAGTAATCCATCAGATAATACATTCAGTAATCCAATAGATAATACATTCAGTAAACCATTAGATAATACATTCAGTAATCCATCAGATAATACATTCATTAATCTATTAGATAATACATCCAGTAATCCATCACATAATACATTCAGTAATCCAATAGATAACACATTCAGTAAACCATTAGATAATACATTCAGTAATCCATTAGATAATACATTCAGTAATCCAATAGATAATACATTCAGTAACCATCAGATAATACATTCAGTAATCCAATAGATAATACATTCAGTAACCATCAGATAATACATTCAGTAATCCAATAGATAATACGTCCAGTAATCCATTAGATAATACATTCAGTAATCCAATAGATAATACATTCAGTAACCATCAGATAATACATTCAGTAATCCAATAGATAATACGTCCAGTAATCCATTAGATAATACATTCAGTAATCCATCACATAATACATTCAGTAATCCAATAGATTATACATTCAGTAATCCAAAAGATAATACATTCAGTAATCCATTAAATAATACATTTAGTAATCTAATAGATAACACATTCATTCCATTAGATTATACATTCAGTAATCCATCAGACAATACATTCAGTAATCCATTAGATAATACATTCAGTAATCCAATAGATAATACATTCAGTAATCCATTAGATAATACATTTATTAATCAATCAGATAATACATTCAGTAATCCAATAGATAATACATTCAGTAATCCATTAGATAATACATTCAGTAATCCATCAGATAATACATTCAGTAATCCAATAGATAATACATTCAGTAATCCAATAGATAATACATTCAGTAATCCAATAGATAACACATTCAGTAAACCATTAGATAATACATTCAGTAATCCATCAGACAATACATTCAGTAATCCATTAGATAATACATTCAGTAATCCAATAGATAATACATTCAGTAATCCATTAGATAATACATTTAGTAATCAATCAGATAATACATTCAGTAATCCAATAGATAATACATTCAGTAATCCAATAGATAATACATTCAGTAATACAAAAGACAATGCATTCAGTAACCCATTAGATACTACTTTCAGTAATCGAATAGATAATACATTCAGTAATCCATTAGATAAGGCACGAACTAAACAAAAATCATTAAATAATACATAACATTAAAACTGCTTTCTCGTTATGATAGCGGTCCATGAAGTCATTTAAGCACATTATCATCTCGGTCGGATTTTTGAAATTTGCGATTATCTTTGAAAGGCTTTTCTCTCAGTTGAAAACATCGATGCAATTTCTTAAATTAACAACGAATTTTAACGACTAAATATTTTCTGTGGGACATATTAAAATATAAAATAAACAATAATATCAAATTCATTACTTTCTGTAGCACATCTGTATTGTAGTTTGAATAAAAATGTGTTTAGAAATAAAACAAAACCAATATCAGATTTATTATTTATAGGCTTGTTCGTAATTAAACAATTAATAAACGGATTGATAAATTGCAGCTAACCCAGCATTATACTGTAGGAAGAATCCCTTACAGAACATTGCAAATCCTAACAACTGTGCCCAGTTTTATGATTGTTCAAAGCCCACAGGAAGATTTGGAGCTTATTTATACGAATGCCAATATCCTCAGCTTTTCAATGAAGTCACTGGCAGTTGTGTTGTATTTGGTAATGTTAAATGCGGAGGTAGATTCTTACCACAAAGTCCATGTAAGTAGTGCATGTAAATTGTTACTGAACCTGTAGTGAACACGGTAGATAATCAGGTGTCGTTTCTTTTTCAAAGTGTACCGATCAAGAATCACTTAATGAAATTGTATATCAAGCCAAAATTAAGTAACCATTTTTTTCTAATAGCAGATTTATGTGTAAAATTTGCTATCCCAATGCTAGAATGCATGAACTAGATACGATTTCGATGTCGGTATAAAGATGTTCCTTTATCTAAAGAGCAATATTCATTTGACGGAGTTTAACTAAAACTTGAATAATACAGATTTAAGAAGCTACTGCTAACATATGCACGGACAGTAACTTCAAATACGTTGTAATATAAAGGGAAGATGAATGAAGGGGAACAATTGATTAATTGATAAACGAAGGATTCTATTTTGAAACGTCTGCTATTCTTTCTCAACTTCAGGATGAATGTTGAAAAACCAGTCCAAGAGACGTAATTTTACATTGATTTTGTTTTAAAAGTAATTATCAAAACATCTTGAGTATAAACTTGGACTCTAGATATTTTACTTGGTGGGTTATGGAACGTAATCCTGAAATTATAAAAGACACGTACTGTTTTTTTTTATAATGATTGCATGTACACATTGTTTATCTTAGGTCAATATCAACAGAACCAGTGTTCACCTGTAGCTGGTCCAAACTGTGAACCCTGTGAACAAAGACTGCCATCTTGTATTGGCAAACTAGATGGAAATAACACAATAACTGGAAGAGAACTGACAGCTGATTATGTAGTCTGCTTTATGAATAGAACGGTCAGTGTGGAGACCTGTCCTGCTGGATACTTTGAACCAACTCTCGGGGAATGTAGAACAACTATTGGCGCAGGTAATCGTATTAACTTTATATAACCTTAAGAGAAATAATATTATGTGAACAATATTGAACTTTTGCAGTCTTTAAACCCACTTATGGCTAACTGTGTTCGACTTTTTCTACTGCAATTTGAAAAAAAAAAAACATATTTTTAGAACCAAATTATTTCAAATTTGTGTTTGTAAAGGTTTTCAGGTCGTTAAATTTATATTAAACTAATTCTTTTCAGCTGCAATACGAGCTTTTTGTATAGCCAATCCGGGTGTGATACGAGCTAATCCTGTAAATTGTGCTCAGTATTTCGACTGTGGTGAAGCCAGCATACGAGCCAGAACTTTCCTCCGTGAATGTCCTTATCCCATGTTGTTTGATACTTCAAGTAACACATGTCAGAATTATACATCAGTAGCATGTGGATCCAGAACAGAATACACAGCACCATGTAAGTACTAGGTGTTACACATATCTGAATTACACACCAGTAACATGTGGGCCACGATCAAAATGCACAGCAACAGTAAGTACTATGTGTTACACATGTCTGAATTACTCATCAGTAACATGTGGATCTAGAATAAAATACACAGCACCATGTATGAAAGCATGTCTGAATTACACATAAGTGAAAGAGAGGGGAAAGATACCAAAGAGTCGAAAACAAATTGATCATGGCTTAAAACGATAAACTACAAAAGACAAACAACAGTATCCAAAACAAACATAGAAAACTAAAGACTGGGTAACACGAACAACACCAAAAACCGGGGGTGATCTCAGGTGCTCCGAAATGGTAAGCAGATGTGTATCTACAACAAAATATGGACAACCATGCAAAATGTGTAATACATATCAGAATAACACATTCGAACAGGCACACAAAGAATGTGACAAGGTTTAACACGTTTGTGGGCGCTTAACACTCCCAGAACCTCGGAAAGTTGTTTAACAACACAAAATAAAATAAAAATAAAAATGTCTTACAAAAAGTGCTACCCCGTCTTGGAATAACAAAATCTTAATTGAAACTTGATCAAGCAACATTTATTTTTCAAAGTCGATATTAATTTTAAATGCAAATGTTTTATGATACAGGTGATTATCTACAGAATAGATGTAATCCAACGATATCTAACTGCCGTCCATGTAGAGAAAGATTTGCCAGTTGTGTAGGAATGACCGATGGACTACATCCATTTCCAAATCGAACAATGAGCCCAGATTTTATTGTATGCAATCGAGGTAGAACTGTATCTGTTGAAAAATGTTTGACTGGACTGTTTGACCCAGGAGCACGAATTTGTACCAGAGACATTACAGAAGGTTTGAAGACATTTGTAGCAAACAATAATTAACACTTTTCAATTTTAAATTTAGTACATGCTTTCTACTTAAACATTGACATATATGTCATTTAAAAGCAAAATGTGTTTAGAAAGGTAAACAGAGAGTATTTTTTTTTATATATTGATAACTACTAAAACTAAACACTAGTACTGCTGAGACATAAGGCTAAGCACCTGATTTACTGAAAGATAAAAAACAGTCCAGAACTTTTGAACTACAAAATATTATGCAAATGCCAATAAATAATGTTCCGGTGAATCTCCCGCAACCGCTTATCCTTTTTTTTAACAACTAATATACATTACATGACAGTTTGCAGTTGTTCTTGTAATCTTTACCGATTTTGAAATTTACAGATCTTTACTTAATTCCAGTCTTGATTACAGTTCATACAAGAACACTAGACTTAACACGTTTATGATCTAAATATAATAAACATCAAAATGTAAGCAACTCAACAAAATAGATTCTACACTTTCAAGATCGAACCATAACATGTCAGGATAAAAAAAAACACATAATGAAACAATCTGTACAGGATTTAAGCACAACCTAAACATGTCACACTGACGTTTAGTTTCTAATGTTATTTTTATAGTGTATGCTTACCTTTCCAGAGTACCTGTTACTACTCTCTGTGTTTTGGTCTGCTACGTGTAGTAATTTCTCATGGTTTTTGTTCTAGTTTGTATTACACTAAGGTTGTTCTCTATTTTCTATAGGACTGTTTTGTTATCCCATTTAGATTTGCTTTGTCTCGTTGTGTCCTTTTTACACTTTTTGTTCGTAATCTTCAGTCTATTGTTGGTATGTTATTCACGGTTTTTTATCAGTTTTGTCTGTTCCAGATTTACGCAACCACAAATTCTTCTGGGTCTTTAGTTTTCTATGTAGTTTTGTGTTGAAATGTTTGTCTTTTCCTTGCTTTTCGGTTTTGCGAAGACATTGTCAGTTTCTCTTCGACCGATGAATTTTGAATGTCCACTTCGTTTTTTCCACCTCTTTTTTATATGTTATTGGTGTTTGTGTGGTGTCTTTATCGTTTCTGTCTGTAGGTACTATATATTATTGGTTATAATTAGTATATAATATGAAAGTTGCACGCAATGTTCCGTGGCAATAGGACAACTTGGGAATAGTTATCGTTCCGGAATTTTCCAAAAGGGATAAAAGGGGTCCAGACAGTTTTGATTATTTTCGTCAGGTTTTGAAGGTATTTTCCTTTGTACTTTTAGTTACGATCTCTAGATTTATATGGAATATGTATTAGCCTTCATTTGTTATCAGATATAAGTTAAACAGATAGTTTAAATGTTATGAGGGGAAACCAGAGCTTTTGCATCTAATTTTACTCATTTCCCATAGGTCGTTAAATTTCGATATAATATTTAATGGACCTTATATTGGAATTAACTCTAAAATATGAACTTGTTTGTTTTCTCACATGGGTTTTATGTCTTTTCTTACTTGAAACCCGTATGTAATTTCCTGATCGGGCTTGTCAATCAGATTTTGGTTGCTCGTAAGCTTTAGCATGAACATATATAAATAATCAGCAATGCAATTTCACATATTTTGCAAAAAAACTAAAGGATTAAAAAACGACATAGATGCATAGTGCATTATATCTGATTAGTGTGTCCATACCATAACTACAATCTACTTGATTTGAGCGCAACTCATTGTTGTTCAGAATTAATACCTGTATCATACATTTAATGTTTGACTCGTCAACTTACAGATCAGCTGATAGCATTTTCATACTTGTTTAATGTGGTTAAATGTAAATATGATAAAGGATTTCAGAACAATAGGTCCAAACCAAGATAACTGATGCATGAGTTATGTTTCAGATATGATAAAGGCCCACTGTACAATTAATCCAAGTACAATACAACCTCACTTATACCAGTGCGCACAATATTTCGACTGTGGACCAACCATTGGCGGAAGTTACTTGCGAGAATGTAAATATCCACAATTGTTCGATACTACATCGATGACCTGTCAGAACTTTAGTGAAGTCACTTGTGGACCCCGGATTGAACCTCAAGCTCCATGTAAGTTGTCCGGATATTTGAATTAGAGGCTTTGACTATTGTATGGGAAAATATAACAAACAAAAAAACAGGAAATTTTGTAAGGAAGACAATCTTAGGAATGATGGTAAACTTCTCTTCCATATCAGATATTACATTTAATAAACATGAATCTTGAAACTTGGCGGCAAAATATACTAACTTTTATTTTATTTTAATCTTACTTCTTGATAAGCTATGAATGTTTTTGTCTAGTAGAAAACATCTTCGCTAGCCAAGGGTTACGATCCACTTCCTTCCTCTTCACCCTTAGCGGATTGAGATAGAATTTCGGAGACACAAGGTAATGATTTTCATTGGTTGCAGTCGAAACTCGCTGCATCCAATCAGAAAGCGCCTATAACATGATCACGTGTAAATGTAGAAAGTGTATGTAAACAATTGCCACGTGCTTATTGTGCAACAAGTCTTTACATCCCTAAACATACGACTATATTTAGTGACAATTTGAATGTTTTTAATCAACTAATAGAAGTTCCTGTGTATGTTTCTTGCACAAATGCATTAATGTCAGCGTATATTTTCGTTTCCTGCTTTACCAAGTGTGTAGAATCTAGACGCTACCGTGTTTTTACCTCCAAATTGAAGAGTTCAAGTGCTACCATTGGTCAAGAATAATGTATTACGAATGGGCGTGACTTTAATCTACCGATAGATGGCGCAACATTGTTATCACAAATGTTGGCTTAATCTGCCAAGGGTGAAGAGGAGGGAAGTGGATCGTAACCCTTGGCTAGCGAAGATGAGTAGAAAAAAGCATATGCATGTTTGAAACTTCTGTTTAAAAAAAAGACATTTTTTAAACGAAAGGCTTCCGTTTATAACTGTACTAACATTGACGGTTATTCTTTGTTTCAAACATATAGAATTTATATACATTGTGTCAAAATATAAAATTTACTTGTACAAAGCTTACATCTATCTTGTATTGAGCTGACTACAAATAAAACTTATGTTTAAGACAATGTATGATTCGTCTCACTATATTGCAACTCTATAAACTTATTTTGAGTAATAAATCAACAATTATGAGTTTGAATTAGACGAGGTGAAATTTTCGCGAACCATTATTCTTGCATAACGTCATAGATGTTAAAACCTCTATTGAAACTTATCATCTACGTCACAAGCAAGGCTTAATACGGAAGGTGTCTGTAGATAGCAAGAGTTTGAACAGTCAATGCATTTCGACTGACTTAAAGTACAACTGTTGCAGTATAAAACGTTGTTTCAGGTAGGTAAACCAAGATTCTGTACAACGATATTACAACTGGTAGAAAGGAGCAACGTTATACATACAAATGTATAATTGTTCAATATCGTTAAGTAAACTTGGAAAATTAAGTATATGCAATGAAGCTTTATTACATATTTTTAAATATTTTTAAATTTCAAATTGACTTTAAAGCATATTAATTACTTGAACGTTCAAGTAATGTAAAGACTGACTTTGAGTATATATTTTTACCATATGCTATTAATTTCATCAGGTGACTATCTACAAAACCATTGTCCACCCAATGTAACCAACTGTGTTACATGTGAAGACAGATTGCCGACTTGTAAAAGTCTAAATGACGGAAACAATGCCTACCCAGGACGACCTGTATCCGAGTATTATATAAATTGCTTCAGTAACAGAACAGTGTCAGTTGAAGCTTGCCAAGTATCTCTGTATGATCCAGTGAGACGAAGGTGTTCATCCAAGATAGATTCAGGTAAAGTTGTTAATATACATAAATTTTGATGATAATTCTGTAGAGATTCGTTGAAAACGAATTCAGATACGTATTTGAAAGTAGTATATTATCTAATATTATGCATAGTTTTTTGCAGTTTAAGTCTACTGTAAATTATCAAATAAGTGTATTTAGTAATAACATCAATTACACCTTGATATCAATGCTTCCAACTGTTTTCATTCGATTGTGCCATACGAGTCAGATTTCGTCTAAACATGCGGCTGGCGTATTAAATTATAAACCTTGCATTTTTATGATTTTTATTTACTTTTGATTGTTTAAGCAAATGGTATTTCATTTAACTTTTTTAACAGTAAAAGATAGAAACTTTTTTTGTTAAGAAGGAAAACTTATAATAGTACGTTAAATACCGTTTATATTAAAGTCATGTGATATTTCAAATTTAACAAAACATGAATATAATTTATATAGTTGAATGGCTAATTGCACTAAAACAACATATAGATATAAAAAGATGTAGTATGAGTGCCAATGAGACAACTCTCCATTCAAGTCAAAATTTATAAAAGTAAACCATTATAGGTCAAAATACGGTCTTCAACACGGAGCCTTGGCCCACACCGAACAGCAAGCTATAAAGGGCCCGCACATATACCTTCTTTTTAAAAGAAAATCCTTTATTTAATCCAAATCTTCAGTCATCTACTGCTGTTAAATTATTGCCTTCCCGTACTCTAATTTACCGACAGCTTTTTCGTATGTAATAACCTTTATCATGACACACCTCGTTAGAAATTCGACAATCGCAAAACGCCAGTGCGAAAGGGGGAATCGTGATAGACGAAAAACTGGAGCAAACTTGATAGGAAGTTGGTTTAAATCTATTCTGAAAAAAAAAACTACAAAAGTATTTAACAACTGTTATGACAAATTTTAATTAATAAATGGGAACGCATTGAAAATATAAATAAAAAATAGATAAACATCGCTCTCTTAACTCAATTATTATACACGTGTTATATGGTTCTGTGTTGATGTTTCTTATCAAAGCCACGATCAGTAAATTCCGATACCAAAAGCCGAAAGGTGATTAGCAGCCTCAGTTTTGACCAACAATAACATTTTTGGACAATTATAAGTACAAATCAGTACAGTCGAGTATGGTTAAGATTGGGGTCGAGTAATATCAAGTAGAATTCAGACCAATGCAGACTGGTCGAGTAAAAATGAGTACAGTCGAGTACAGATATAGGCCATTCAGGCTTTTACTGGTTTGTAGTGATCATAATCATCAAAAACTCGTTTCATATGACTTCAAGAACGACAAACTAGTGGCCATAACCTCTGCTTAGTATGTAGTTATGTACTAATATTTTTTCTTACATGATATAAGGAGTTTTAACAAAGTTCTGCCAGGACAACCCCAGGATGGTTATACCAGATCCAGCAAACTGTGCACGGTATTATAACTGTAGTGACCCATCTTTAGCACAAGGTTTAGATGAACCCTACAGGCAGGAATGTAAATATCCAAGACTATTCCAGTCAGCAGGTGTCGGGTGTCAGCTGTTTACTATGGTCCGATGTCAAAAGAACAGATATGTACCGAAAACACCATGTAAGTGCAGTATGGATGTATTGTTTAACATGGTTTAGACTACTTTACTTTCAAATGAATATATATATATATATATATATGCCGGAGGAACATAGAAAAAAAAAACAAGCCAACTCAACAAACAATGTCAAGTGAGAAATACGTATTGGTTCCTGTTATTTTCGGTGAAATGTTTTAAGGCATAGAAGTAAAACCTACTTAGAACAAAGACAATACTTACCGTTGTTACAAGCAGGATTATGTTATATCCGAGTCGACCAGTCATTACTAATACTCCTAAATACCATGTCTTAAGCGGAGAAGTATCTGATACTTATTTTCAATTCTTGAGTTTGACCCGGTATTAAACGTTCGACCTCTTGCACTCGAGGCAATATATGCGTTAAATATAAGAAGGACATTTTACTAAAGGGCTAAAAGTAACATCTATTTTAAACAGCAAGACCAACAAATACAATAGCACATACTGCATAGGTTAAATATAGTGAAAGAACGTGTTTTATGGTCTCAACTTACTTAAATGAAAATAAATCAAAAGTCGTATACTAGTATATGTGTTTTACATTCAACCATTATGATAAAAGGTCAACGATGATATCAAGATTATTAACAACAGTCAATTACATGACTATAAATATAATAGAAATACGCAATATGCTGGACGTATATACAAATTTATAACATCAATTAAGAGACTGCAACATTTTGTTTTCCTTACACGCTCACAGATAATACCGTTCTTTAGAGGCATTGAAAATCACCTGCTATGAACGTTTTAATTGGTTCTTATTTCTTTGTTTTCAATGGTTGACACACAGAGAAAACCATGTAAAAAATCATAAACTAACTTGAAATACACAAAACAAAAATAAACCAATAAGAACTATACCCTGAAGTGTAAAAAAAGCTTGTACCTTTGATATAGTACAAAAAGTATAAAGCACTTATTTCAATAAATACAATATATTATGAAATTATCTTTTTAGGTGAATACGTTGAGAACCAATGCTTCAATTCTACATGTGAACCGTGTGAGACACGATTTCCTAGCTGTGTTGGTAAAGTTGATGGCAGCAATGAATTTCCAGGACGGGAAAACACAGAATTTTACATTGTGTGCTACAGAGAAAGAACTGTTGCCATAGTTTCGTGTACCATCGGTACCTACAGTCACGCTGATAGGGCGTGTGTGGGAGAAGTGAAAAATACAACTGACATCATTGCTCCTTCACCTGCCAGGAGATAACAGATCAAAACAAATTAGGGTTTGTCTAGGTGTCAAACTTGATATTTAATAAAACAAAGTAGTGTAATGTGGGATAGGCCTTAAATATGAGTACAAATCTGAATATTATCTCAGGCACTACTTAGTATATACCTTCAATGAACTTACAATAGTAGTTTTAATATACATATTTACATATTGTGTTTAAAAGGCATTTTAATCTGTGATGATGTATTGAAAGACGAAAGACAATTAAACAATATTTATAATCTAGTATGGGTTGCCATAAGAATAATAAATGGACGTATATTCAGCGTCCCTATCGCACCTACGAGTCCTACATATATATACATCTTATGAACAAATGCTCAAATGACAAATAGATATTTTTTCAATATTATATTATAACATATATCTTTTAACTTTTCAAAGAAACGCCATGACTTTCCTTGTATATTGTTTAGTGCTATTCAGAGCATCAGTAAAACAAGAAAACTCAATTTGTGTAAATTTTTATTCCAAATGTTCTAGGTTTATGCATTTCGACCCTTCCTTCATTAGTTTTCAGATAAACAAAGATGGTTAGATTCGGAGGGCATAATTTTATTATTTGTAAATACGCTGTTGACAATATGATATTGCTAATTTGTAGTAATCAAGATTTATGACGAATAAAGACATAAACACAATTAAATTTTTATTTCATACTTTTTATCCTTCATGTTTTACACGAAAAATAAATGGCATAAACATTTAAGCTTGCAGACATGCTGGTAGTATTTTACACAACGATATATATCCTTTTATAATTGATTAACTAATAGTGAATACCTGAATAATAGTGCTTATCTTGTATTTGCCTCAAAATAACATATTAGTTCCAAATCCTTTGGTAGACTGAATCACTCCATTGGTAAATGCAAGATTATGTTTCAACTTTTGCATTCAATATCGTATGAAATGTATGACTATTTATAATAAATAAAAACTTTTTCAAGACGTTTGTTCAATTCATTTTTCTGTATAATCGAATATGATTTTAACGACATGACAAGTCACAGAAATACACAATAACACCAACAATGACACACCAATGAGATGGTAATTCTAAAACACAATAACAACAGAAATGACACGTCAGTTAGACGGCATTCTTTAAACTAAATAACACCAACAATGACATGTCCATAAGATGGTAATTCTAAAACACAATAAAACCAGAAATGACATGTCAGTGAGACGGCGTTCTTAAAACACAAGAACACCAGAAATAACACGCCAATGACAACAATTCTAATAACTCATCAAAGATACCAGGCTTATAATTGTGTGCACCAGACGCGCGTTTCGTCTACATAAGACACTCTAGTGGCGCTCAAATTAAAACAGTTGGTCGGCCTTATCAAATACGAGCTGTAGAGCTTTAAATACTGAAAACTTTGAAATTTGTGCCAAATACGGCTAAGACAATCTATACCTGAAAGGTAGAACACCTTATAATTCAACATTACGTGTACAGAAAAATTACAGACAATGAACATATCAATGATGTTTTATTTTAACACAAAAGTACTGACTACTTAAACACTATAATACCAGGTCGAGATTTTCTTCATGATGAAAGAAAAAGACGATAAAGGAACGTTCAATATAAATTGTTTTTAAATGTAAAAATGTAAAACGATTGGAAGGGGACAATGAAAAACCGCAAGTCGAAGAAAAACAGAATAGTCTACAAAACGCTCAACGAAAACTGAAGATTTAGTAACACGAATGAAAAAACAGGGATAACTTATTTCGATTAAAACATACAATTAAATTTTAAAATTTACTATTACAAAATGTGTAACTGGAATAAAAAAGAAAAAAATATGGTGTTTTGAATCATTAAATTATGTCTCAAAATCCCTTCATGCACTTAATGAACCAAAAGCAAAGGAACAGCGTTATTAATGCTGTTCTTTATTACGAGCTATTTTTATCCTTATATTGTATATTTGGCAATCGCCATGGCAGTCAGCAGTGTTTAAGAACATCCGTTGTTCGACCTGCTTGTCAAATGCGTTTTGTTAAAATATCATTTTTTCACTTTTTAGCTCACCGGGACCCGAAAGGCCCCATGAGAGCTTATGCCATCACTTGGCGTCCGTCGTCGTCCGTCGTCTGTCGTCGTAAACTATTTCAAAAATCTTCTCCTCTGAAACTACTGGGCCAAATACCTTCAAACTTTAACTAAATGTTCCTTAGGGTATCTAGTTTATAAATTATATCCAAAGTTTTGATCCATCGACAAACATGGCTACCATGGCTAAAAATAAAACATAGGGGTCAAATGCAGTTTTTGACATATCTTAAAAACTAAAGCTTTTAGAGCAAATCTGACATAGGTAAAATTGTTCAATTGGTCAAGATCTATCGGCCCTGAAATTATCAGACGAATCGAACAACCCATTGTTGGGTTTCTGCCACCAAATTGGTAGTTATAACAAATTTTTGCAGTATTTTGTTATTATCTTGAATATTATTATAGATAGATATAAACTGTAAGCTGCAATAATGTTCAGCAAAGTAAGATCTACAAAAAAGTTAATCTGACCAAAATTGTCAATTGACCCCTTAAGGAGTTATTGCCCTTTAAAGACAATTTTACACAATTTGTTCATCAAGTTTGCTAACATTTAAAAATCTTCTCCTCTGAAATACAGGTGAGCGATTCAGGCTCTTGAGAGCCTCTTGTTTGGTCTTTTGGAAAATGTTGTTTGTGCTGTTTTAGACCCCTCTATCAAGAAATTTGTTTTGCATGCACACGTATAAAAATTGCGGTTTTTATCCAACGCAATCATAGGTTTGAACGTTGTTTTCAATTTAGGTTTGAAATATATGTTAGGGATGTCAACTCGGTGAAGATAAACTAATCGAGTACTCGTTGGTTTTACCGAGCGATACTCAAGTACTCGCTGGATCAAGCATTTTATATTTCAAAATGGAAACACAAAATTATATCCATTTTATGTATTGTGGGTCGTTGCATTATGAACAGATATATCATGTTATGGAGGGGTATTTGCGAAAAATACCAGTCAAGGAACGGTGAAATTTCCCAAGCCGCTAGGCAATCGCCAATGGCAGTCAGCAGGGTTTAAGAACATCTGTTGTTCGACCTGTTAGTTAAATGCGTTTTGTTAAAATATACTTTTTCACTTTTTTGGTCTTTTGGAAAATGTTGTTTGTGCTGTTTTTAGACCCCTCTATCAAGAAATTTGTTTTGCATGCACACGTATAAAAATTGCGGTTTTCATCCGACGCAATCATAGGTTTGAACGTTGTTTTCAATTTAGACTTGTTTATACTTTTTCGTTTGGGCTTGTATTATACTTGCCTTGGGGTTATATGATCCGTTCATCCTATTTTGACTCTTTCAAAATTCAAGAGTCTATCCTAAATTGAGGTAAATTATATGGCCTTCCAAAAACCGTTTAGATTCCTAACATCACTGAAGAGACATTAATTGTCGAAATCCGGATATGGTGTACAAATTTTTACACCTCATGTTTGCGGTATACCATCTTTTCCGCAAGTTTATTGTTTTCTGTTTGGTAATAAATTAATAATAAGATCCATTTTGTAACATCTGGTGATCCGTTTATTTGGCAATCGCCAATGGCAGTCAGCAGGGTTTAGGAACATCAGTTGTGCGACCTGCTAGTCAAATGCGTTTTGTTAAAATATACTTTTTCACTTTTTTGGTCTATTGGAAAATGTTGTTTGTGCTGTATTTAGACCCCTCTTCCGAGAAATTTGTTTTGCATGCACACGTATAAAAATTGCGGTTTTTATCCAACGCAATCATAGGTTTGAACGTTGTTTTCAATTTAGGTTTGAAATATATATTAGGGATGTCAACTCGGTGAAGATAAACTAATCGAGTACTCGTTGGTTTTATCGAGCGATACTCAAGTACTCGCTGGGTCAAGCATTTTATATTTCAAAATGGAAACACAAAATTATATCCATTTTATGTATTGTGGGTCGTTGCATTATGAACAGATATATCATGTTATGGAGGGGTATTTGCGAAAAATACCAGTCAAGGAACGGTGAAATTTCCCAAGCCGCTAGGCAATCGCCAATGGCAGTCAGCAGGGTTTAAGAACATCTGTTGTTCGACCTGTTAGTTAAATGCGTTTTGTTAAAATATACTGTTCCACTTTTTTGGTCTTTTGGAAAATGTTGTTTGTGCTGTTTTTAGACCCCTCTATCAAGAAATTTGTTTTGCATGCACACGTATAAAAGTTGCGGTTTTCATCCGACGCAATCATAGGTTTGAACGTTGTTTTCAATTTAGACTTGTTTATATTTTTTCGTTTGGGCTTGTATTATACTTGCCTTGGGGTTTATATGATCCGTTCATCCTATTTCGACTCTTTCAAAATTCAAGAGTCTATCCTAAATTGAGGTAAATTATATGGCCTTCCAAATACCGTTTCGATCCCTAACATCACTGAAGAAACATTAAATGTCGAAATCCGGATATGGTGTACTAATTTTTGCACCCATTGTTTGCGGTATACCATCTTTTCCGCAAGTTTATTGTTTTCTGTTTGGTATTAAATTAATAATTTCAAAAGATCCTTTCTGTAACATCTTGTGATCCGTTTATTTGGCAATCGCCAATGGCAGTCAGCAGGGTTTAAGAACATATGTTGTTCGACCTGTTAGTCAAATGCGTTTTGTTAAAATATACTTTTTCACTTTTTTGGTCTTTTGGAAAATGTTGTTTGTGCTGTATTTAGACCCCTCTATCAAGAAATTTGTTTTGCATGCACACATATAAAAATTGCGGTTTTTATCCAACGCAATCATAGGTTTGAACGTTGTTTTCAAGTCTATAAAAAGGACCAACCAGCAAATTTAATATGTACCGGATCGTCTAGAATAGACGATACTGCGCAGATATGGAAAAAATTATATAAGTGTAAATATTTGCGCAAAGGTACTTATATAAGATGGTAATATACGGAGATGATGTTATAAAATCGTGTTTACAAATGTTTCGGCTTAACAAATAGCCTTCGTCGATGTCAATAATTTTAACAATTCTAATTTTATGTGTAAAATAGCTCAATAATACAGGTAAGTTTTCCCGAATCTGTCACTGGGCATCACTCCAGTGAATGTTCTGTTCAATCACTAGGATTTTCATGCGGTTAAAGTCATCAAGTTTATGACCCGACTGTCTGAAATGCTGACTAACTGGGAGAAGTGGCTTCTTAGAGATATCACTCCTATGGCCATTGAGGTGTTTGTTGAAAGGCTTTTTTTACTCACCAACATATTGGAGGCCACAAACTGAACATTCTAGAATGTAAATAACATTCATGCTTTTGAAGGTCACATTGCAAAATATCCTATAGTTATTTTCGGTGGCCTTACTGTGAAAAGTTGACTCAACTTGAATACTAGCAGTTTTATTTTTCACTCATTTTGGGAAGTATATATACACAGTCACGTCTAATAAGTATCGTGTTTTGTTTTATATTATGATGTTCAGGATTTGGGATTAAATCAATAGACCAAAACTTACCTGTATTATTGAGTTATCTTGCACATACAATTAGTATTGTTAAAATTATTGACACTGATGAAGGCTATTTGTTAAGCCGAAATATTTGTCAACACAATTTTATAACACCATCTTTGTATATAACCATCAACCAGTCAAGAGAGGGTAACCCCGGTGTTTTGTACATTTATAGAAAATGTTTATTCATATTCGTGATCAGGTTTTAACTCTTGAGTTTTATTTCTTGTTCGTTTATATATGTGAACAGAAAGACAAAATTGAATATAAAGTTACACTTTACAGCATAGAGTACATTTCAACACGAAATGACTTTTTATTGAGTACATGGTTAGCCTAACCTTTGTACACTCAAAACATAATGTTTGTTATGATAGCGCAATAATAAGTAGATTTCGTTGTGAAATACTTTTACTAA